TAAAATGAGCTCGGAACAACTGGTACAGTTTAAATTATTGAGCATCTGTGTTGGAAAAATACGTGCATTAAAAACGAGCTAGTGTGTTTTAAAAAGCTTATGTTTAAAAGAGTAGAATGATTGACACCTGCAACACAGCTGACATTCAGACCCTGATACCATGAGTCTGCAGATGTCCTTGCCGCTCTCTGCAGAAAGTGGGTTACCTATTTAAAGTGTGATAATAACGACCTGTCTGATCTGTGTGTTGTATACACTGCGGGTGGATACTGATACTGACCTGCTGACAGGTGCTGGCTGCCCAGGAAAGGGCAGGTCTCAGTGCAGGGCTCATAAAGGGTGATGATGGTTAGAGTCTCTGACCTCTTGGATAAGCGTGCTGCTGCTGATGCAGTGGTTCACCTGTGGGGCAGGTAATGACACTGAGCTGCAGGTAAAGTCCAGACTGCTTCTTAGACAGAGTGGAGTCAGACTTAAGATCGACTCGCTGCTGAGATCAGACTAATTGAATATTTTTACAAGCAAAACTAAATATTTAGTGGACAGGAAGTGAGCATGTTAGCATGCTAACACTGACCTGGATGACTTCACAGCCTCACAGAGCTGCTAGCGTGCTGTAGCATCAGTGGTAGCTAACAGGATGCTAGCAGACAGATGGAGAAGTTACAATAAATCAAAGCAGGTTAAAGATATTTAAGCAGTTTGGTGGTTGTCGTTGTTTGTTTTATTAGCAGCTGCTCCAGGGCTCAGATTTAATAGTTATGTATTGTTCTGTGTTTACAAGCCTGAACCCAGTCCTGAACTATAATCTTGACTCTGAGACTCACACCACAGCTGCTGTGTGTGTGTGCGTGTGTGTGTGTGTGTGTGTGTGTGTGTGTGTGTGTGTGTGTGTGTGGCTGCATTGTGATGGTGTGAACACTGAGTAAACACTGCTTATGTCCTTTTGTATGTTTGATTTGTATGACATAATATGTTAATACCCGACGCTCTTCACTGAGACCTCAAAGGAAAACAGTCACACACAGATCTCTCTGTGTTGAATGTAATAAAAATGTGAAGAAGTATTATAGGAAAATCTAAATGTATACAATGCAAATATGTACACCATAAATATCGACTGTACAATACAATGTGTACACAAACAGGTCTTAAACGTTGTATAAAAGCTCAGCCCGCTGGCGTGAATCACCAGCTGAAGCAGCAGCTACCTGCCTGCTGCTCAGAATAGATGTGTGCATTGACAAAAGACTGCAGAGCTGGACGTGGGAGTCTCGTGGCGTCCGTGACAGACTGCGGGTCCTTATTCCTGGTGCTGTAGTCTTTGTGTGGAGCTGTGCTGCGTTTAATGACAGTTAATGACAGTCTTAAAGCAGAGCCGTTAACGTTAAACAAGCTGCAGCAGCGTGAGGTAGACGGGGCTAATTATAAGGTGTCCTGTGTCAGAGCGCCAAGGCTCGCTCTCTCTCCTCTCTCACTGCTCAGCTTCACCGGCTTGGTTCCTGTGAACTGGCAACAGAGAGAACAGCAGGTGTGTGTGTGTTTTGATTCGACATTAAAACATCATCTAATCTAATGTGGCCAGAAATAGAAAATCTCCTCTGTCAAATGCTGCGAAAATGTCCAAATAAACCAAATAATACAAGTGTTTATATATAGATATATATATATATCTATATATATAAGTGGTAATGTTGAGTGTGTTGCTGGTTTCTTATTTGCTCAATATGAACAGGAACGTATAGAAGCTGGTGCAGATTAGATTAGTCGGTGTAAAAGGTAAACATTGTGAGGAACATTGTGTTCTCGCCTGGAGAGGGGCCCCCAGCCTGTGTGTGTGTGTGTGTGTGTGTGTGTGTGTGTGTGTGTGTGTGTGTGTCCTAATTACACAAGGCATTGAGGCAGGGCTGACATGATGAGAGCTGAAAAGAAAAAAAGAGGCAGTACATGTTCTTGGATACTTTTGAGTTTTCCTAGAAAAACCTGCAGCGTGAACCTCGCTGGCCTCCGTCCACATTCCTTCACACAGCTTTGCTTTCCAGAAATGTAAGATCAGAGGGAAACGCTCAGTGAGGCGCTGGAACGTGAACCCGGTGGTTAACATGTTTGATCGGCTCAACACACTTCAGGACACGTGTCCCGTGATTATTAGATGGTTGATTCTATGAGCCTGAACTGTTCATTTCTGTTCTTCACTTTCTTCATGTGAAAGTTGCTTATTGCTGTGGCCTGACTTCAGGCACGTGCTCTTTTATGGGATGTTCTGTTCCTTTCCAAGACGACTGAGTCAGCGTCAGGGGCCGGTCGCACAAAACACCTTAAGATTTCCCTTAGTTTGAGTTATGATTTCCTTAAAATACAAACAGTTGCTCAGAACACCCTTAAGTCTTCTCCTTAAAGTTTCCTTAAAATGTTCACTTAAGTATTTAAGGTTTTCTCCTGATCTTAGTCTGATACTTAAGGAGCCACTTAAAGTCAGTTAAACCTTAGTGACCAAACTAAGGAAAAAGCTAAAGGAACCTCAGACTTTATCTTAACTGCAGCGTGACCTTTGTTTATGGTGATAAATGAAGAACAGTGTTCCTAATGGCTGCCAATCAGCCGTCTCCATGGAAACGGGAGAATTTTACTGCTGTAAACGCCTTTTAAGTACCAGCCTCATCTGAGGAGAAATTAAACCTTAAGTAGAAAACTTAAGGTGTTTTTGTATTTGTGTGTGTGTGTGTGTTTGTTATGACTGTGTTCCTAATCTGTCCACCTGAACAATAACAAACATCCACCCTGTTCACTGAAGCCTGAGTCACTCTCAAGCCGTCCTCTGACCTTTTGTCCTCAGTGCATGATTGATGTTTACACGTTGCCTTCACTGACTCTGTCGTCTGTGGTTGTGTGCAGCCGTTATGTCAAAGCGCAGACTTGATTCCTAAATGACACTAGTTTACCCCCCCCCCACCTCCCCCCCCCCAGGATTATTGTTCGTCGCTTGCGTGGACAAAAGCATGTTGGCTCGCTTCCATTCCCCTCCCCCTCCTCTCCTCTCTTCCCAGTGTACACACACACACACACACACACACACACACACACACACACACACACACATCCCCCATATTGTTACATAACTGTGCACTCCTGGAGTTGGAGCGTGACGCAATAAGTGAACGACTGACCAGACTCGGGTTGTTGTGGCTCACATGCTGACTCCTGGCAGCGCTCAGTGTTTCTGTGTTTGTTTCCACTGCCTGTGTGTCGTGTTGTCAGTTTTCATATCTCAGGATTATCAAATCCTCTCTTTCGGATTTTAAACGTTACATGAGTGTGACGGGGGAGTTATTTATATCGTAGTTGTTTTGGAATATTCTGAGCTCGGGGGGGGGGGGGGGGGGGGGTTGAAGCCCGGCCATCAGTGAGCGTCCAAAGTTCAACCATCACACAACAGCCTCCAACCAGCAGTTAACAGAAGAGAAAGGAAAAACAAGCAACAAAAACAAGTCTAAACAACCTGCCAGGGCACCAGTATCATCCAAGGAGGTTCACCCATGTGTGACCGTTCCCTCTGGAAAACATCAGTCCATGAAAACGCTGCGACCGGTGGGCCGCTGCCCCTCCGCGCTTCTGTCACCACCTGCCGCTTGAAATTCATCTCGTTCCTCAGCAATTAGGCAACAAACCAAAAAACTGAGGCGGCTTCAGCAGCAGCAGCAGGAGCCAGAGACGACGTGTGAACGAGCCCAAACACACAGAAGAACATTGATGTTTCTCAGTCTCTCGGACACTCTGTGATGAAATGATCTGTAGAGTGTGTGTGTGTGTGTGTGTGTGTGTGTGTGTGTGTGTGTGTGTGTGTGTGTGTGTGTGTGAGAGTGAGACAGTGATCACTTACCCTCTCTCCCCTGGTGTCATGGTGATTCGACCCCTCAACCCATCCCCCTCCTCTTTTCCAGATTGTAGAATACACCCTCATTATGTAATCCCCCCCGACCCCCGCAACACACACACACACACACACACACACACATATTCTCACACACATACAGTCAGGCTGGATACTGGTGGCCCATCCCCCACCACCACCACCTGCCCCAGTTGGAGAAAACACAGTGTAGGATTGGAAAAGACTGAGCTACTTACCAACCAAACAAACAAGCTCATTAGCAGTGAGTGGCACGGTGCTCACGTCCCGGTCCCCCAGTGTTCAGCCTCTGATCCCAGTATATTGACCCCTCATTATACCAGCTCTGCTTGTTTACACTGAACCAAACAAAGCCGCCATGTTGCCGCCCTGCCGTGTGTGATTCAGGGAACACGCCGGCGTTCAGAAAATCAGAGGCGTGACGTGTAACACAACAGCGTCGGCACCTGTCCCATGATGCCAGGTTGATCCGGCTCTGTGACGACCTCCGCTGCCGGTTTAAACCCGGAGCAACAACGTTTTCCCCTTTTTCCATGTTTGTACCTTTTTTTATACAGAACGACGAGGCGGAATAAAAGCACAAGGTTCCCGCCGTCAACAGGCTGTAAAAAGGGCTTTTGTTTGTTTGGAAAGTTTTGAAGACTGTGAGAAATACTGGATTACTTTTTGTTGTTGTGTTCTAATAATTAGTGATTCATTCCACGTACATGCAGATAACTCGTGAAGTCTGGTGGACCAGCAGTGTCTGGATTTTTGGTGGAATTCAATCACTAAAACTTCAGCTACAACTTAGTTTGTGTAAATACCAACACTTAGTTTGATGCCTGATATATTAAATACTACATGTAGAGTGATGTTTGGGTCATTTCCTGAATCTTCATCGGCTCTCTGAGGAAAACATTCCTCATGTTGTGGAACTGGATGTCAAACAGGAGCTGCAGGATTCTTTGTTTGAGAAGTTTACTACATTACATTATGTCCATTTGGCTGCTGATTGGTCAAACACGAACTTTGCTGCAGCTTCATTTTTCATCCACAAATACCCTTCGGACAAGAGCTGCAGGTTTTTCATGTGACGTTAACTGACATTAAAAATAAAGTTTGATGTCGTTTGACTTCCTGGCTGGTTCTTTAGATGCAGTGGATTTTAGTCACAGTGTCTCATTAGTACCTGGAACTAATTGGTTTAAAAAGCATCGTTAAAGTTGGGTAGTTGGGGCGTCGAGTGGCGCAGTGGGTTGAGCAGGCGCCCCATGTGTAGAGGCCACAGTCGGCCCCGCTTCGAGTCCCGCATCGGACGGCCCTTTGCTGCATGTCATTCCCCCTCTCTCTGCCTCCCCATTTCCTGTCTCTCTCTACTGTGCTATCAAATAAAGGCATAAAAGCCCCAAAAAATATACTTTAAAGTTGGGTAGTTTGAAGATTTTGTCACTGTAGCAACAATAAAACATGTTTAGTTTCCATCTAAAGTCGGTACTTAAACACAGCACCTGAACACATGGTGAGAATGGAGCTTGTTCATTGGTGCATTGGTGCAAGATGGCCGACGAGACCAAACACTCAGGACCTATTGTCAGAGGAACGCCACATGTAGAACGAATCACATTGTGATCCAACAATCAGGTGGAGTTGACACGTTCTCGCCCTGGAACACGGCCTCAACTATTAACCTCAATATAATTTCCTCAAATGCTGCGACTGTTTACATCTTGATCACTTTTAAAAATAGATTTCCAGCTCCATCTGTGGTGTGCATGTAACTGTATTAACTCCAACAAGTGACTAAAAATACATGCTCAGAAAAAGCCGGGGTCGTCATGAATAGCCCGTGCTGGTGTTATGTACCTTGGCGTAGATCCAGCGGCTGTTTTCTCCTGGCTGCGAGGTGGAGCTGACAGCTGCCTCGGGATGAATGTCTGCTGTAACTGACTCTGTGTCTCTTCTGTTCCAGGAAACACCCAACTCTGTTTTCCTGGTGATGGAGGTAAGTTTAGAAACGTGACTGTCTGGATGTTTGAGTCACAGCTCACATCCTCTTCTCATGTGTCGTTTGTTCTCACTGTAATTATGTATCATTAGATGCTTTTCTTTATTAAAAGTAATAAAAGAGATGACATGAATTATTATACATGTGTCCATTGCCCCCGGTAACGGCTGTCAGCATGTGTTCTTCCTCTTTTGGCTGTGCTGCCCTCGTCCCCCCCCTCCCTCTGTTGTTGTCTTTCACATTTCCTCCGTCGGCCCGCTGACGACCTCGGCATCGTCCCCACCTTTTCTCTGCTCGTGTTGCGACACTGTCAGACTCTCTGTCTGCGGGGCAGAAAACAAACCGACACAACCTCAAGTTACTCACTAGCTTTACACCCCTCTTTTCGTTTTCTAGGAATGTTTTTCTCCATTTTCTCGAAAGTCTTGGCTTTAGATCAGAGTTGCGACCGCTCCACAGTTTACTCTGTTGATGATCCTCGTACGTTCGGATCAGCTGCTCTAACACTGGGTTTCGTTAATTTGATATGTACGTTACGGTTTCAGTGTCAATATTCAGCTGTCAAATGCTTGAATAAATCTTGCAGTGCTTCTGCTCTGGCTGCACTGAGAAGCATAAACCTCAGTCTGGTTAAATCACTGCTGATGCCTGGTGTTTTGCTGAGCTGGAAGAGGCTTGTCCTACTTAAACACTGGTGGAAGTATCAGATGAAAGTGTGATGAAGAGATGAGAGCGCTGAGCCAGAGGCGGGAACACAGCTAAGACTCATATTAACACCGTTTATTGGAACAATGTTTTAAAGGAAGGACGATGTTTGACTTGGAGGCTTCACTGCAGCTTCCTGCCAAAATACAGTAGCAGACACAGTTTGAACCAGGCTCAGATAAACTGTAATGATACCATACAGCCAGGAGATATGGTGGTTAGCTAGTCTTTAAAGCTCCTCCAGTGTAAAGGTCTGTGTCCATGTGTAGTGTGATTATAGATCAGGTCTAGCTTCTATATTAATACTGTGAAAGTATCAAAGCCTCAGTCCACAGAGAAATGCACACAGCCTGTATTCAGAAACTGAGCCTTAAAACCAGCCGTCAGGACTTCTGGAACTTTGTGATGTCACAACGAAGCGGTCACCGCCCTCAGTCTGTGTGTTCACAGCAGCCTCGTCCGTCTGTTCTCGTTCTCCCTCTTGAGGACTGACTGCTCTCGAGCAGATGAAGCTGCAGCCGTTCAGCAGATTAATTGATGATTAATGCTTTTGTCTGGGGCTTGGATTTCACATATGCACAGACACACTCAACAAACACCCATGATGCATCACACACGGATAATAAATACACATTGAAACCTGGATGTGCCTCTGGGCTTGACGTTAATGAACCTGAATGTAACTGCTGCTGATAGTGTCTGTCTCTCCTCACACACAGTACTGTAATGGAGGTGATCTCGCTGACTATCTGCAAGGTAAGCATCACGCTAATCTGTGATTAGTTACTAACACTGCAGACCAGGAAACGCCATGTGACTGCAGCTGTTATGAATGTGTGCGTGTGATTAGGCATTTATTATCTGTGGGTGATGGATTGAGGAATAATGTAAGTCTGTATCGTGTGTGTGTGTGTGTGTGTGTGTGTGTGTGTGTCTCCATGTTTTCGATGTGGGGGATGTGTGTGTGTGGGAACGACTGCAGCTTGGTACAAAGAGTTCCTTCTCTAGTTCAGAGCCATTTAGCACACTGTTTATCATTGTGATAGTTCATAACAAAGGTCAGCAGCAAGTCAGCGTAAGATGAAATGATGCAGAATGGAAAGTTCAGTTGAACATGATTCACAACCTCCAAATACCAAAGAGTAAAAACAAAGAACATGAAGCTGACGTGTCGTCCTCCGGGTCCTGTGAGACTAGAATTTATAGATTTCATCAAAGGCTGTCACGTAGCATAGCATGCTAACACTAGTGAAACACCAAACTTAAAAAAAAAAAAAAGTAAATATATACTGTAAAACAAAAACAAGTTAAAAATGAGAAAAACACATTTTTTTTTAAAATTTAAACATTTATTTAAAAAAAAAGTCAAGACAAAATCTGACAAAAACACATTTAAAAAAAAATTTAACATTTAAACAAAAACAACATAAAAAATGACAAAAACAAAACATCAGTTTTTGAAACAGGCCACATCACCTGGAGTCTCACAGTTTGTGGAATCTGTGTCTCTCAGATAACGACACTGATTGTGTGTCTGGAACTCTTATCACTGTACTTTTACATAAGGACTCCGTCCCACCTGTCCCACCTGTCCCACCTGTCCCACTCCTGCAGTTTACAGTGGGTCACGGTCAGACCGGTCTGAAGCGAGGTGGTCCACAGTGACACAGGTGGTTGTGTGGATCAGTGTTCAGACTCAGTTGGATCCTCCATCTTGACCTTTAATCCCCCGGGGCTGCGGCGTTATCAGTGGAGGGATTCTGTGTTTCACAAGGTGTTTGACAAGGCTTTGAACGCAGCGTAGCCAACGACTGTATGTCATTATATAAGAGGATCTCACCTGTGAATTATTCTACTGCTGTTGACGCAACTTCTCCATGTACAGATAGGAAACAGGTCTCAGAGAGAGAGAGAGAAATCCTCTTAGTCTCACATCAGATCAGATTATTTCACTACCGCAGGGAATAAAACCTTCACTGCCTGAAATTACTCTGTTTACCACAGGATTATTACTGTTAATTATTAGCTTTAATCGAGTGAGGCTGATAAACTGTAGTTGCTTTTTCTTTCTAGTTTAGAAATTTATTTCCTAATGAAGGAGCGTGACGGTTTTATTTAAAGCATGTTTTTATTGTATTTAAATTTGACTCTTGCCTCATGTGGGAGCTGTTTTTCTGAATAAAATTGATAATAATAATAAACTTTGTTTGTACAGCACTTTTCATACAACAAAGAAGAGACATGCACCAAGAGATTCACACGATAAGACATTAAAATGAACATAAACATTTTAAAAACATTGATGGAAGATGGAAAACTTTAAAAACATTACTTTAAAATGAGATGTGATAATAAATACAATAATAACATTGAATAATAAATTAAAGAAGTGCTGAGCAGAGCATAAATGCAGAGCAAAGAGGGAAACAGGTCTCAGTCCTGGTTACTCATCAGTTTTATCGCTTCTCTTCTTGTAGCTAAAGGGACCCTGAGAGAAGAAACGCTGAAGGTTTTCCTGCAGCAGATCTCCGCGGCCATGCGCATCCTCAACAGCAAAGGAATCATCCACCGCGACCTGAAACCCCAGAACATCCTGCTGTCGTACACGGGCCGCAAGAAGTCCAACATCAGCGGCATCCGCATCAAAATAGGTAAAAGAACCAGATAGAAAAAGTCACATATCCATTGTCACTGGATAGCTTAGATTTATAATTTCTAGATTTGACATGATCATGTATCTAAGGTTTTGTAATAAACCATATGAAGCATTTCCCTGCAGCTGAAATGAAAACAGTGTAGTGCATCTGAGCGTATATGCTTCCAAATATCACATTGTCTTTAGAGCGTCATTACTCTGCAATGATTTCAGATAGAGACATGCTGTTCTTTCACCTTAAACTAAAGAATCTGAGCTTTCCAACGAGCCCCTGTTTGTCCGTGTGAGTCACTGACTTCAGTCAATAAACTATGATGAAAAGTTGTAAAAGATCTGGACAGTCTCATCGTTTATCGATCCTTATCTGCCATCTTTGCTTCTGATGTCTAGAGTCACGTCACTGAATCGAACACTCCTATTGGCTCTGGTGAGTGCTGTCACAGCCAATCAGAGTGTCTGATTCAGAGGCTTGGCTGTCAGTTACTTGTAGACCCAAACTAAATGGGAACAGTGCGATTTTATTCTGAGGTCAGAGCGAGGAGAAGTTGGTCTGAGTTTACTGTAGTGACAGAAAACAGACAGAAGGATGAAACCAGTCACATATTCACACTAAATATACATTAACTTTTGTTTTTCTTTTGTACTAAATATAACAACAAATAGCAGCAGATAAGTGATATTGCACAGATGGTGTGTTAAACGGTTGCATGTTGAGTGACACATATAATTAGCCTCGGTTGTGCTGATTCTGACTTTTAAAAATGACAACTTCATAAGGCAAAACACAAAGGTATGAAAACATGTTAATTTGGGCTTCAGAGGCTCAAAATGTATTTGAAAATTATTAAGCAGCAAGTGGTTTTACTTTTGAATTCAGAGGCCAAATAAAGAGTGAGAGACATGGAAAACTGTTGACACACAACATCTTATTTTGGCGACTGGAGTTTTGTAATTAATGTATTTCTGACAACGCTGACTCCGTCACTGTCCTAACATTGTTTTGACTGTTTCATGCTCGAGTCACTGCTCCCAGTGTTTGTCCAACAACACTGCTCTGTGTTGGTGGTGATAATAACAACCTGTTTACTGACTGGTGTGTTTCATGCCTCTGTCCTGCAGCTGACTTTGGCTTCGCACGGTACCTTCAGAGCAACATGATGGCCGCCACACTGTGCGGGTCCCCCATGTATATGGTCAGTGTCATTTCTGCTGCCTGTCTAGAATTGCAGCTGATGTCAGCTATTTTCAATTTTACCCCTCAGCTTCCTCAGCAGTTTGTTGCATAACTCTAAACACTGTGGATCTTAACCTGTGACCTCGCAGGCCCCGGAGGTCATCATGTCCCAGAACTACGACGCCAAGGCCGACCTGTGGAGCATCGGGACGGTCATCTACCAGTGTCTGGTCGGCAAGCCGCCGTTCCAGGTTAATACTGCGCACAACAAACCAGTTTAGACCAATGTGTTTGTACATGTGTGAGGCTGAGACTCTTATTTCTGTGTTAATCTCTTCAGGCCAATAGTCCCCAAGACCTGAGGATGTTCTACGAGAAGAACAAGAATCTACAACCGATGTAAGTCACCTGTTAATGACGGACTTTCATCCAGACTGAAATATCTCAACAGCTATCAGATGGATTGCTGTGAAGTTTTTTATGGATGCAGGTTCATTTCCCAAGACTGATGCCGTCCACTGAGACTACGTCTGTATTAGATCCATCTGGCACAGTGTGACAAGCAGATTGTTGTTTCATGCAGTCTATAAGAGAAACAAAATATTAACGTTCCCATGCTCTCGTTACCCAGCATCCCGCGGGAGACTTCCCCACAGCTCAGTGACCTTTTGCTTGGGCTGCTGCAGAGGAATCAGAAAGACAGGATGGACTTTGGTGAGTGCTGATGTATATAAACATGGTGCATGTGTTGTTTGCTTTTATCCTCTGAGATGTGTCTTAACGTTTGTTAAAAAACTTCTCCTCTGCAGATGCGTTTTTCAGCCATCCCTTCATGGAGCCGTCGTCCACCATCAAAAAGTGTAAGGTCACGTTCCTCAGCAGTGTCACGTGCTGTTCTGCATGTTCTCGTTGTCCGACTTGAGAACATGAGTAATCGTGTATTTATCTCCTCAGCGTGTCCGGTGCCGGTCCCCAGCGCCTCCAACACAGTGACGGATTGTTCCTGTGGCAGCTCCCCGTGTATCCGCTACAACTCTCCTCCGGTGAGTTTGATATGACTCTATAAACCCTCATCCAGAGGGGATCACTACGGAAGCCCTGAGGGTCAGGAGGAACATTTTTTTTGTTTGTTTCATCTGTGAAAACAATCCTGAGAGGCAAGTGATTGTTTGGCCTGGATCAAGTTTTTTCTCAGGGTTGTTTTCACAGATGAAAAAAACTTTTTTTTTTTTAGTTTTTTTTTAATCTCATCTGTAAAAACATCCGCTGATAGACAGGTGGAGAAGGTGGACGTCATTTATCACATTTTCTTTCTGTCTTCCATAAAAGAAATTTAAAAAATCACACAAAAAAAATGTTCCACAAAAAATTACAGATTTTTTTTTTTGTTTCATCTGTGAAAACAACCTCAAGAGGCAGGTAAAATTTAATTTATTTATTTTTTCAAAGGATTTCTTTATTTTTCTGGATGTTTTTTTTTGTTGTTTTTTTCTCATGTGTGAAAACATCCCCTGATAGACAGGTGAAAAAAGGTGGATGTCATTTTTCAAATTTTTTCAAGTTTTTTTGGGATTATTGAAAAATGAATCCCGTCCTCCCATAGCTAATACTTTTCTAACCATGTGCCTGCTTGCTACAAACTGCTGAAAAGCAAGACATGGTGTCCAAAGAGGGAAAATAAAACAGAGTCTTTATAAAATTTGTCTCGTGATTTTACAATCACGAGACAAATTTCAGGAATCAAAGAAAGTTCTGATCTTTCGCTCTGAATGTTTCTCCCTGCAGGTTAAACTGCCACAGCTCGTATAAGTCCACTGCCAGTTAGAACAGTGACACATCTCTTCTCACAGCAGCAGTGGGAGGGCAGGGCGAGTCAGTTTCCCAGGATGCCACTGTTCTCTGTAACGATGTGATTGCATTAGTTTCACAGTCAGCACTGCCTTGCCTGGAAGTGTAATAATTACATCATTCAGGAGCCAAACCACAACTCCGTCCTCTCTCTCTCTCTCTCTCTCTCTCTCTCTCTCTCTCTGTGTGTGGAAACACAGTCTCTCCCCGACATGCAGACTCTGGCAGAAGATGGTCTGTCATCCCCTCCGCTCGGTCCGCCCAACTTCCTGCAGCTGTCCAAAGAGTCTGCAGGAAGCACCAGCAGCAAGAACTCGTCGTGTGACACTGACGACTTTGTCCTGGTGCCTCACATCTCCACTGACAGCTGTGAGTGCCATCACACACAGCACAACACACACACGTGGCTACAGCTGTGTTTCCTCTAGATTCACCCAGGTGTGACTCACCGCTTCATTTGAAAGGAGATCAACTCGTGCACTTCCTAGATCATCTGTCGGTCAATATAGATGTGCATCCTAAAGTCTGTCTGTAGCTCATCCACTCTTACTTCCTGGTTGAGAAATCTGGATCAGGCCTGGAGCCTCGCCCCCCACCTTCAGAATGGCTATCATAGTTAGCATCTTTTTAGAGTGGCTAGCGTAGTTAGCATAATTTCAGAATGGTTAGCGTAGTTAGCATCTTTTTAGAGTGGCTAGTGTAGTTAGCATAATTTCAGAATGGTTAGCGTAGTTAGCATAATTTCAGAATGGTTAGCGTAGTTAGCATCTTTTTTAGAGTGGCTAGTGTAGTTAGCGTCTTTTCAGAGTGGCTGGCGCAGTTCACGTCTTTTATTTGTTTATGTGGTTCGTTAGCTTTTAACTGGCAGTGGCTGACACAGTGTTAGTGATTGTGCTAATGCTAACTCTCTCTGTCTGTACTGACAAGGTTTCAGGTTTATGAAGACTCTAAATCAGTCACTGTTTTCTGTAGAGGTTAGACTAGAGCAGAAACAGGGCGCATAATGACAAAATGAATCTTCACTCTGTAAAATAGATAACCACGAGCGAGTGCATGAATTCTGTGTTCACATGCACACACACACACAGTTCATGCAATATGAATAACACGTGAGCTGTGGACGTACGGACGCGCACCAGCATCTGTTCTCTACGAGCATGTAGATGTTTTGAAATGCTGCTGATTCATAGACACACACACACACACACACACACACACACACACACACACACACACACACACACACACACGTAAGTCACATTCACTACCTGTCAGTGACACCTACACTCACACACACTCACACACACTCACATAGCACCACACACAAAACCCATTACATTAGACAGCTGCTAAACATTTCATGTTGTAACTGTAGACAGACATCCACAAACAGTGGACACGCACACTTACCCTCTGCCCTGGTAAAATGAATCCTCATGCTCTGCACCTGCTGCCACACACACACACACACACACACACACACACACACACACACACACTGCTAGTCCTCCACTCAAACAATGAACAGTGTGTAAAGCTTTGGGAATGGCAGCTGGTGTTTTGAGGGGCGTTTAATCAGCTAATTACAGCTGATTTACACGTCGGTAACGACTGCTGCACCTTCATCGCTCTTTTCTTTCCTTCATTTCCTCAGATGACCAACCAATGGGAGTGGGCCGTCGGCCGTCCAGCGAGTTCCTAATGTGCGGAGGGTGAGTACAGAGCTGTCGAGCGAACCCAAACCCTGAGTCTGGTCTGAAAGTGCCTGAGATAACTTCTGTTGTGATTGGGCGCAATATAAATAAAGATTAACTTCACTTGACTCGACTAGATCTTTGGAGGACGGTTAATATTTTTTAGTTTTGTCAAAAACTTGAAAGAAAAAAACTACATCTCTTGCTGAACTCTTCAGTCGTATCACATCAGCTATAAACTAAGAAATAAGGTTCTAGAAAGAGAAATTAAAAGTCACTGAGCAACAGAGCTGCTTCACACACAGTAACAAACAGGATTAAAGGAACAGTTCAACATTATGTGACATGTTTATGGTGATACTTACTGGCTTCCTTGCTGAGACTTGGATGAGAAGATCGATACCAGTCGCATGTGGGAAAACACCTAAAAGCATCTCTAGAGCTCATTAATTAACACGTGTGTTTTAATTAACACGTGTTTTCTCATGTGTTTTAATCCATATAAAGTGTGAACATGAGCAGTGTTTTTATGGGGTTGTCCTGTACCAGAATATTTCATGTCCAGGAGGAGTGACTTCCTTAAGGCTTGTTGTGATGTTGAGGTTGCCAGGCAACCAGCATACGCTTCAGGAAGTCACTGCATCCAGCTAAAAAAAAAAAAAGGTCCACAGGAAAACCACAACTTTGTGTTTTTAATGTGTAACTTCTCCTCCTCGTTTCCAGAGTCATTAATCACCAAACGGCTGCTTCACAAGTAAATGAGCAAAGAAAATAACATGATGGAGGTTTTATTGTTTGTTTTTTAACAAGGGATTTTATATAGTTCTTTTTTTTCTTTAAGGGTAGAAAAATTACTAATGATCATGGAAACGTTTCATCCAACAAAAGAAAGAACAAAGAGTCTGTAGATGCAACAAAACGAGTCACATGACGCCTTCACTCACTCATTCTGGTAAATCAACCACAATCTGACCTCATAGGTTTCATGTCCTCGGTCCACCTGGTCCAGACCTTGAGGGAAAATGGCCGCCTCTCCATAATGTAGATTGTGTTTATTGTTCTCATCCATTCCTCAGCGCTGGGCGGCTCTGGTTCTAGCTTCTTCCTCCCGACAGCCTGGTTTTATTGTTCTTTACGTGCAGTATCTGTGGTTGTGACATTGAACCAATCATTCAGGAATATGAACTGGTTAATTACCATTTCACTGAGCTGATGTTTCCAGCTCTGATTGTTTATTTTAGTCATAAATTGTTGAGTGTTTGAAAGCTGCAGATAGTGTGTCATTCAGCTGCACTAATTAGACTCACTGCACTGAAAATGAACTGGATGTTGACGAGTGGATAGAAAACAGACTGAGTGTGGTTCACGCAGCTTCGTCTTCATGAGTGTCTTCTTCATGTGTTTCTATGTCAGTGACGTTTCTATTGTTTTCCTGTGTCGCTGTTTCTGTGACCGGCCTCGTCTCTGCTTCACACCACACATCACACACTCACACTGTCAGTCTCTGACCGCCTCCAAAATCTGCCTGATTGACTGAGCTATGAATCAGACTGTGAGCCAAACAACAAGGTGGAGCTGAGCTAAATAAAGCAGCTGACCCACCAGAGGCTGCGAGATAAGAATAGACTCACACACTCGCCACAACGCGTCTGCAATAACAAACTGTGACTGTTCTGGAGTCTCAGCTGTGTTCACAGATGAAGACATGCTCTCAGGTACTGCAGCCACAGCAGTTTATCCTCCACACTCTCCATGTTCATGTTCTGCCCCGTCCTCATGGAGATGTTGATTCTGGGTCTTTTTCCAGAAGCGTTGTCCCTAAGAACTCGACCTCGGCCTACGAGCGAAACGTCTTATTGCGTTACATCAGAAAAGTGTTTGTGGACATCTTTGGTCTTTGGATTAACGGACTTTCTTCTTGCGTAGCGATTGAGAGGCTGACATACATGATCGAACCAAAAAGTCATATTTTTCATAAAATATGGGATTAATTTCTCCCTTTCTGCACTTTCCCTGTAAAACTTTGTTTATTGATTCTCTACTTAAATTGGTTTTAAACTCGGCTTCAGGTAAAATCTAAAAGCTCTCTGCTGTCTGTCTGTTTGTTGTTTGTCTTTATTCTGCTCTACGTTTGCTTCTGCAACTAATCTCATGAAAAGACTAAAACCAAGAGTCAGTTCTCAGTACGTTCAGGCCCGACCTCACACACTGAACGCTCCACAAACACACAGTTTTTCTTTATTAAAGTCTCAGTAGTTACATGAAACGGCGAACAGGAGGAGGAGGAGGAAGTGTTGCTCATGAGCTGAGGAGGCCTCTCACCTCATTTATTACTTATTGACATAATATAATTAAAGCCTTCATGAGGTTTCTGCCATGACTTTATACTAGCCTCCACTTTCTCCTGTAATAACATGCAATTGTGAAAATGGTTAATTAAGAGTTCATTCTGAATCATTAGTAATTTCATTTGAAACTTAATTTGTAGTTTAAATTATTTTCTACGGCTCAAAAACCAGTCACCTGTTTTAATGTTCTGTGATTGGATCAGAATAAACCTCAGAGTGTGTGTTCACGCTGATGTGTGTGTTCATGCTGATGTGTGTGTTCATGCTGATGTGTGTGTTCACGCTGATGTGACTCATCCCTGTGCAGATTCCTCAGGCTGTGACACAAACACAGTCACTTGTTATTAGGAAACGGTTCATGGTTTTGGTTTTTTTCATGTGATTTGTTGACGGTGAGAAACATGTTAAATATCTCCAGTTGCCTCCTTTAGATCCTGTTATTACAGTCAGTTTCATCACGACGACACAGCTTCAGCTCGTGTCACCAGTTCTTTTCCTGCTGTTTAATTCCAGCTGTATGAAATCCCTGTTTGTTTCTAAATTAATCATTAACATATCCTTAGAGCTGGAGTAGAATTTAACTGTTAAAAGGTGTGTGTCACTCTTTGTTCCCTCTCTCTCTTCCTTTGTTGGTGACCTGCAGCCAGACGCTTCACATTTCTTCTTCTCTCCCTGTTTTCCTGTGTAAACAGCCTCGAGCCAAACTCCGCTCCCTCCTCTCTCTTCCCTCTTTCGTTATACTTCTTCTTTTTTTTCCTCTTTGTTGCTGTTCTCTCTCATGTTCCTCTCACTAACTGTTCCCCCCCCCCCCCACACATACATCAGTTAACCATTGACACTGGAGGAACTTATTTTCTTTCTTAATTACTGGATTTTTCTCACAGTTCAGTAACAGGAGCCAGACTCTGACAGAGCTGCTGAATCGCAGCTTTGTTTATCCTCCGAGTGTCGTAGCTTCACTCCACTGGCTCCCAGTGTCTTTCAGAATAGATTTTAAGGTCCTTTTAAGGTCCTGGCAGTAGAAGATTCGAGAGCTGGTGAAGGATTATAAAACAACAGACTTTTAAACACACACAATTTTACACACAAGAACATAGAGTGCAGCTTTTTTTAACTATGATCCAAAAGCATGAAAACCCTGCAGAGCTGGAAGATGCTCAGAGAACAGTTTTAAAGATTATTTAACTTGGCTTTTAATGAATTCTCTCATATTTTATCTTATAGATTCTGTTTTTCATTTACATATTTTATCATTTACTGTCTTTCTATTGTCTATTTTCATTGTGCTACTATTTGATAATTTTTGTAGAACACTTTGAGCTGCAGACCTGGTATCAATCTGGTTTATTGCCATGTAGGTTTCCAGCATACGAGGGATTTGCTTTGGTGTTTTGGTTCATATCAACAGACATAAGAAGAAGAAAAGAAATAGAAACATTTAACAATAAAATAAAATAGTTACAATAAAATGTGAAGAAATATTGTAGAAAAGAATAAATAGAAAAATATAGATTTATACAAGCTGTTAAAGGAGTGTATAGGTGACAGTTTACAGTTTATTATTATTAAATAGATAGGAAGATGGAGGAGAGGAGGAGCAGGGTGTCTGCAGAGAGATTATTATGATAAAGAAAGAGGAGAAGAGACGGATGAAGTGAGAGTTGATGTTCGGCCCCCTCCCCCTCTCTCGGGCTGCGTGATGAAAGCAGGTCAGTGGAGAGACGACTTCTCCTCGTTTCACTCTCGCCTCTTTTCAAACAGCAGTTGTTCACTGACCTACAAATTCTCTCTTTAACGAGGACGTTAACGTTCCTCTCTGAGTCCGGCCTCGGCTCGGATCAATACAGCTTCACTTTAACCTCACTGTATCAGATGTCTTCTGGATCGGGGGGGGGGGGGGCTCATGATCAGGTTTATATCTCAGTCCCACAAAGACCTGCTGTCTGGTTCTTTGTCTGGACTCGTCTCTGCCTCACGTGTCGTCGTCCTCTCTCCCTGTGGACTCTCACAGGCTTCACATCATTACATAACACTGGTTTCCAACTGGTGCTGCTCTCTAACGGCCACTTCCTCCGGCCCCCCTCCCCCTCCTGGTTTCTATATGTAAGCGGGGGCCCCTCTGTGGGTGACTCGGTCATGACTTTCTGTTCCAGAACATTTTGTCTCTGGAATAACAAAAGAATGTAAATGAGCTTCTGCCTTTCTGCACTTCCCGTGCTGTGTCACACAGAGCACAGCAATGCACGTGCCATTGGCCGGCCCTGCCTCTAGCCCCGCCCCCAGGAGGGTGAGCTTGAAGCTGATTGGTCCTGACTTTGTGTTTACATGGAAGCTCAGCCCCCCTTTTTTTTTTCTCCTCCCCTCATGATGTGCAGGGCTAAACTTAGTTCCTGAACTCGCCTGCGCTCTGAGGTAAACAAAGAACTGAGAGTCAGAACATCAGAACGGTTCTGTGGAGAACGTCTCACACCAGCAGCAGCTGTTTAAAGAGGTTTAGATTAAAGATGTGCTGCAGGTATGGAGGCAGCAGCCGCCTCTAACCGCTCTCCTCTCCTCGCTCGCCCCCTCCAGGCAGCCGCAGCCCACCCCGGGACAGACGCCCATGGTGTCCCCACGGGCCGAGACCACCCCGATCCCCGTCCCCACCCAGGTCCGCAACTACCAGCGCATCAAGCAGAACCTCTCCAGCAGCCCGACCACCACGCTCTACAGCTCCCCCAGGTAAGAGCCGCCTCTGCTGGGCCCCCGGGTGACGGACGGTAACACCTGCATGTGATTAGTCATGAAACACCTGGAGCGGGAACCTGTCTGTCTGTATCGACTCATGACTAATATTTAATGGTTTCATCAGCTGTAAAGTTTCACTGAAGTTACATCAGCTGAGTCTGTGGCCTCCGACCTGCTGCGGGGGGGTTCAGAGGAGGGAGGGAGGGGGGCACCTCGTTTCACAGGAAGATTAGTTTGTTGTCGGAGCCGGAGAACACATGAGGTACTGTAGATTTAATCAGCTGCTTTATATAGTTAATGTGTGGTGCTAACTTCTGTTGGGGGTTGTGCTGCTCTGGCAGTTTCACTTGTTGTTTAATTTGCTGTTAAATAAAGATTAGGATGAGTTTGATGTTTGTGCAGCAGCAGCTGGTTCAGTTGACCTCTCTGGATCCTGTCCCTTTGACCTTTAACAGGTTCTTCTTAATGTGTCTTTATTGTTTTCATCACTGCATGGAGCAGAATGTGGCAGGTAGAAACGTTAAAGGAATATATGGATTTTAAATTAGCTCCATTTTACTAATAACAGCCTGTAAGCAGATGTTAAGATACAGCTGTAAACCAGAAGCAGGAAGTAGATTTGTTTATGTTGGCCTCTTGATATTACCTAATATTTGGAGTTACAGGATTTGTCCTTTGCTCACCTGCAATATCTAATTTCTGAATTTAACATATCCAGCACAGTTTACCTGCCACAGGTGACGGGAGATGTTCCTTTACATTTTGAGAAACTCCACAGAGGAAGGTTTTCACTATATATTATTATTATTTTAATATGTTAATTATTGTGATTTCATGGAAGCAACACACATTAACAACAAGAGAATTACAATAATAAAAAGAACAGAACAGAACATCTCGGCTCACAGACTCATTCACATTCAAACAGGTGAGAGACTGAGGATTTACATGAAAGTAAAAATAAGAAATATCTCATAGACAGGTGTCGCTCAGGTCTGTACCACACACACCCTCCTGTGAAATTAACAGATATCTAAATCAATATGTGACATAAAAGACTCCGATAATTAACAACAACAAGTATGACCTGATGCCAATATGTTTTGCATGGAACTTTATATCTGTTATGCAGTTCATAAGAATGTTGTATTTTGTAGTTTCCTTTTTATGTTTCAATATATTGTAATGTAAATTTTACATTTTTATCTTTAAAGGACAATTTAAAGGTGTTTTATGAAGCAGGAAATGCATTTGACACACTCAGAGAAACACTGAATAGAAACATAAATTTAGTTTGTTCACAGGAAACCTCCACAGGCTGTTTTTAATGGATCTGTATTCTTTTATGACTGTATCTCAGTAATTACACGAGGTCTCTATAAAACACTTCCTCTGGCTGCGGTTGCACTAAATATTTAGTGCGATAGATCTGAGATGTGCAAATGAGCACTTTGCTCAGCGAACGCTCCCACACATGCTTCTCTTCTGTGCGACGCAGATCTGTGCTGCGGTCGTTACAGTGCAGCAGGAACAGGTTCGTCCCAGCAGCAGCAAACACGTATTTACCACCAGGTGAAACTGTCTGAGAAGAAGCAGAGAGAGAGAGGAGACTTTTATTTTCATTAATTCTCTAAATTCTGAGTTAAAAGTAATTAAAGTAATTTTTTCAGGCTTTTTATTAAAATAAACGGTAAACCACTTTATAGCGTTAAGCATAAAATAAAAATAATAAGTTAGAACCCTTTTTTCTCTGAACTCTGAGTTTAAAGTCAGAATTTAAGAAAATAAATACATTTTCACATATGGCCGTAATCCTCAAAAAGTAAACAGCAAACTTCTTTATAGAGTTAAGTAAAAAAAAAAAAAGAAAAAAAGAAAATGAGTCTGAATTTGGACTTTTTTCTCTGAAGCCTCAGTTTAAAGTCAGAAATCTGTTGAATACGTTTGTGTTTGTGTTTTGTAGGTCTGGCACAGTGAGGCGCTCCAACACTAGTCCCATGGGGTTTCCCAAAGTGGGCTCCGGGTCCCCCAGCTCCGCAGATGTCCCTCAGACGGTGGGCCGCCGCCTCTCCACCGGCAGCTCCCGGCCCTACTCCCCCTCCCCCCTCGGTGAGGACGCGTCCAGACGTGTCTCCGAGCACATCGGACTTTTTAATAACAACCTTCAGACGTGACACTAACGATTTAAAATAACTGTGTTTCCAGTGGGAACCATCCCGGAGCAGCTGGGTCACTGCTGCTGTCACCTGCAGAGCCACGAGCCGCGCAGCCGGAGCTCCTCAGGAGGTCGGTGCACAGGTGAAACTCACCTCACCTGGTCACTGGGTTAACATACACATATATAAATACTTACAGTATCACCTGAAGGAGCCATGAGTGTTTTATTTGTGATTCATTTGTGTTTGATATATTAGTTATTAATGTCATTTATTTTAGTGCGATCACAGTGATTCTGGAGCGCTGGGTCACATCGATGCTAGTGGTTGATTTAAACCAAGGACGTAGATTTGTAAAGAGGCTACGTCTCCAAGACAACCGATTTAGACGAGCTAGCATTTGATTGGCTGGAAGGGCGGGGGCTATCTGAAGGCTTACGTCATGTGAGAAAAATATCACAGTGGAACCTGACGTCACCAGAAAAATCTCAACTGATGTTATTTAACCGTGTTAGCTAGCGTTAACTAGTAAGCTAACCCTGGCTTCTGTCTTCTGTAGGCTAGCTGTCAGGTTGCTAGCTGTCAGGTTGCTAGCTGTCAGGTTGCTAGCAGTCAGGTTGCTAGCTGTCAGATTGCTAGCTGTCAGGTTGTTAGCTGTCAGGTTGCTAGCTGTCAGGTTGTTAGCTGTCAGGCTGCTAGCAGTCAGGTTGCTAGCAGTCAGGTTGCTAGCTGTCAGGTTGCTAGCTGTCAGGCTGCTAGCAGTCAGGTTGCTAGCAGTCAGGTTGCTAGCTGTCAGGTTGCTAGCAGTCAGGTTGCTAGCTGTCAGGTTGCTAGCAGTCAGGTTGCTAGCAGTCAGGTTGCTAGCTGTCAGGTTGCTAGCAGTCAGGTTGCTAGCTGTCAGGTTGTTAGCTGTCAGGCTGCTAGCTGGAGTAAACATAACATGGCGGATATATCAAAGTATGAGTTTAATTTCTGTTGAGAAATCCCATGAAAACGTCTCCATGAATGAATGGTTGTGTAGAGAGTTGAGCAGCTGATGAGGAAACAGGTTTTAAAATGATGGTGTGATTAAATATATGTTATTATGGATTAATTGTAAATGACTAATTTACATTTAACATAACCACAGTGACACAGTCCACCTGTTCTGGTGTTAACATGGAAGTTATTAGAACACAGTATCATTTAAAGTTTTAGTCTTTGATCTGTGACTGTTAGTTTCATTATAATTTTAAAAAGAATGTAAATTCAGAACTTATATGTTAATAAACTGTCTTGGGGGGGGGGGGTTTGAGACCAAACCTATGCCATTCATATAAGCACCTGTGTTGGAGGTGGAGACAGTTATTGATCGCTGTGGATATTTTCATTTATTTTCTGAACATTATAATCAATTGATCTTTTTGTCAATAAGTGTAAGAGAAATCAAACTGGCCTCAGCCTCTCAGCCACTTGAAGATAGTTTCCTGAAGTCGCTACATAAATATTCAGCATTAACATTTACATTAAAGTTAGCATGTTAGCATGAGCTGCAGTGAGGAGCTGTTGTTTTGATCTTCTCCTCCAGCGTCATCACCCAATTACTGACTGAGTCACGATGACTCGACATCCCTTTTAAAAGTCTCTGACGCTGCTGCCGACATCTCACAACTTCTGCATTGTTTGTGTCAGGATGTCTGTTGTCTGTTGTCATGGTGACCAGTTTTTTTAAAAAGAAGGAAGTGACAGACAGACCACAGCTCTGTGTCTCACAACAAACAGATTTGAGGACCAGGGGTCTTCTTCTGACTCAGCTCAAACAGACAGCAGCATCACAACATTTACAAATGTCCATAATCGACCTGCTAATTAACTCCCCAGGTGTTAATTGGTTACCTTGAACCTGGACTGACCTGGACCCTCTCTCTCTCTCGTCCCTCAGGTTCCCCCGTCCCGTCCTCTCAGCTCCTGGGGGCTCGGCTCCAGAGCGCCCCCACCCTGACTGAGGTCTACCAGACCAGGCAGAAGCTCCACAAGCAGCTGTCGGACCCCGTCCAGCCTTCGTCCTCCTCCTCCTCCTCCTGCAGTCACTCCCCTCAGCTCGGCCGCCCGGCCAACCTCGGCTCCTCCCCCACCAAGCTGCTGGGCTCCTCCCCCCGGACGTCTGACTGGCTGCAGAAGTCCCCCCTCCCCACCATCATCGGTTCTCCCACCAAGGTGAGTTTTTATTAAGTTTCCCGACGGTCGACAACACAGCAAATATAATGTTTGGGGCAGTTGCACAAAACACCATAAGTTTGCCCTTAGTCTGAGTTAAGGTTTCCTTAAAATGTTCACTTAAGTATTTAAGGTTTTCTCCTGATCTCAGTCTGAAACTTAAGGAATCACCTAAAGTCAGTTCAGACCTTAGAGACCAAACTAAGGAAACTGTGTCCTGTCGACACGTCTGAGTTCATGTTGAAGAGGATGAACGTCCCAAGAGTTTGAAGCTGATGGACACGATCAATGATGAGGAATTGATTTTTTCTTTAAGATTTGATTGGCAGTCAGTTTCTGATTCGTCCGACCATCTGATCAAAAAGTTTATTTATGAAAAGTTTTTTTCTCCACTCAGATCATCTCGGCTCCGTTTAAGATTCCCAAAACGCAGGCGTCCTGTAACCTGATGGCGTTGGCCGACAGTCCCGTGCCCGCCAAGATGCTGGCAGATGTTCGGGATATCTGCGCCCATCACTGCAGCCCGTACCTCACCGGGCGGCCGGCGGCCCCCGAGGCCAGCCGCACCTTCGGCAGGTAAGACTCACATTCTCCGTCTCAGCTTCTGCTTTTACTCAACGTCCATTAGTGTCCATAAGTTCTGCCCCAGTCATTAATGTCCATCTTCAACACAATACATGATGCTGTTCAGTTATTTACATATTTATGTTGCCATAGGAACCTGAATTAAATCTATTGTTAAACTTGTGAAACTTCTTTATTTATTTTTCTGGGTTTAAATGAAGAGTTTTAGTTTCACACATTTAGTTTAAGATCCATTTTTCTGCATAAATAAATAAATGTATTGTTATTATTTTGTTGTTGTTGTTATTATTATTATTATAATATTAATAATAAAAATGTTATTATTATTAACAATAATAATAATAACATTTTATTATTATTATTAACAATAATAAATAAACAAATAAATCATGAATCAAACATGAAACTGTGAAATGAAAACAAATGTTTCCCTCCAGGTTTTGCTGTTTTGACCTTTGACATCTCAGTGAGGTCATGTGTGTGTTGACCTGGCAGAGTTTGTAGAGGAAAGGTCATCAGCTCTGCACCGAGACTTTAGCCACTGAAAGAATGATGTAATTCAGGAAGTGAGATGCTACGTCCCTCTGTGTTACTTTGACCCCTCCCCCCTCTGTTGTTCCTCTGCACCGTGTGACGTGCGTGACCTCTGGTTTCTCTGCAGGTCTGTGAGCACAGGTCGACTGTCTGAGCAGCCAATCAGAATCACTCTGGGCGGACAGGCCTATCAGGGCAGCACAGAGAGCCTGAACACGGAGCGACCCATGGACACAGGTACGTGGTCGCTGCTGCACAAACACTGGACACGAAACTCCATTTAAACGTCAACAACGGATAATGACTGACTTTAATTTTCCCAAAAGCCCCTGCAGGTCCCAGCGGGCTGGCTCAGGGCGGCTCAGCGAGTCCCCGTACTGTCCTTTTCACCGTGGGTTCACCGCCCAACAGCAGCACTCCTCCCACCTGCAGCCACCTGTGCACCCGACCACGCACCACCTCTGGTGAGGACGCCTCACCTGAGCACAGCCTGGCCCCGTTTTATTTTGAAAACTGGGTTGTGTTTTATTTTGAAAAAAAGAATATGAAGTAGATTATAAAAATAAAGATAAATATAAAATTTGAAAATATGTCCTTATACATAACATATATATACAGAAATATTTCCTTGTATAAATAAATACCTGATACATCAGAGGTTTGATAACAGACGTTGTGTCCCCCCCTCCCTCAGTGGGCTCCAACAGCTCGGCCGGCTCCCTGTGCTCCACCAGCGGTCGCAACTACGTCGGCTCCCCCCCGGGCATGGCCATGGGCTCCTCTCCCCCAGGAGGGTTTGGGGGCGGGCAGCTTGTCCCCGGGGCGGAGGGGGCGCCCAGCAGTCTGCGCTACGTCCCCTACGGCACCTCCCCTCCGAGCTTGGAAGGGTTCATCACCTTCGAAGCCCCAGAGCTGCCTGAGGAGACGCTCATGGAGGTGAGGGGGGGTCGGGGTTGAGTGTTAGTCTCTTTATTTAACAGAGAATCAGGTTTTCTAACTTTGATTTCTTGTGGCACAGAGAGAGCACACAGACACCCTGATGCACCTGCGGATGATGCTGTCCTTCACCGACTGCGTCCTGGAGATGGCGGCAGTTCGAGCCGGGGGGGCGGAGCTGGGCGTGTCGGCGGCCTCCCTCTACCCCCCCCAGGACAGCGTGGTCGTGGACCAGATCAGCCAGCTCAGCAAAGAGTGGGGGTAAGCTGTGACTGATGGTGTAACAGAGCCTGTTGTTCTGTGCTGCTGCGGCTGCAGAGCGTCTCATCCTCTGTGCATGTGCTGCCCCCTACAGGCAGGTGGAGCAGCTGGTGCTCTACATGAAGGCGGCGCAGCTCCTCGCCTCCTCCCTCCATCTCGCCAAGGCTCAGATCAAATCAGCCAAACTCAATCCTTCCACTGCTGTCAAACAGGGTGAGTCATCTCCCTGTCCTCAGACTGGGACCAGAGCTTTAAACTGGGAACGGTGTACATACTTCACAGAGAGGTAAATCCAGTTAGTAACTGAGTTTACTCCAGAGAGAAATCCTAACGTCTCTCCTCCTCCTCTTCCTCCTCCTCCTCTTCCTCCTCCTCCTCTCAGTGGTGAAGAATCTGAACGAACGTTACAAAAGCTGCATCTCTCTCTGCCGACGACTCACCGACAAACTCAACCACTTCTTCTCTGACAAGCAGCGGTTTGTGGACGAGATCAACAGCGTCACCGCCGAGAAGCTCATCTACAACCATGCTGTGGAGATGGTGAGAGTGACACACACACACACACACACACAGTCTTCATAACTCAAAAGAGATGAAAGGAATTTAGTCTGATGTCGATTCTTATCGCTGTAATCTACACTGGTGTCCTAATGTGGTGTGTGTGTGTGTGTGTGTGTGTGTGTGTGTGTGTGTGTGTCAGGTTCAGTCAGCAGCTCTGGATGAGATGTTCAAACAGACGGAGGACATCGCCTACCGCTACAGTAAAGCCGCCATGCTGCTGGACGGTCTGTCCAAGATCCTGCAGGACCCCACGGACATCGAGAACGTGGTCAAATGTGAGAACTGACTACACACACACACACACACATTATGTATAAGTTTTCTCTGTCACTTTCCACACAGAGCAGGTTCAGACTCTTTATTACATTGATTACACAGAACCAACATTTCCCATCGTGAGCACCCCCCCAAAAAAAACAAAAAAAAAAAGTTAGGTGTCGGTGTGAAAAGGTTGAGAAACACTGAGTGTGATCTCTGAGGAGGTGTGAACTCCCGCCTCTTTTCCTTCCACTCATCTCATGTTGTTTTGTGTTTTCAGACAAGGCGAGCGTGGACCGCAGGATCTCCGCCCTCTGCTACTGCACTGTCACACTGTACGAGTAGCAGACACACACACACACACACACACACGGGGACCACGACCTGAGACTGTCGACTCCCGCCCTCACAGAGCCGCTGTTCCCTCCTGTAGCAGTTCAAGCACTTTTTCGTTCGACAGGTTTCATGTGTATTTATCGTCGGTCGCGGCCGTGACTGTGACTGACGCACAAACTCAACCAAAGACGACCACGGATCAGAAACTGAAGGCTGAACCCGGATGTGGACACCACTTTTTTTTCTACACGATATACATAAACTATTGTCCATCCATGGTTTTAGGATCATTTGTTTTTTTACCGGAGGAGGAGGAGAGAGGAGCGGACTGAGCTTCAAGAGACTCGAGCTGTTTCATCTTTTAAAATCCTGCTCGTCATCACGTGATGTCGGCGGTTATTTACTCTGTTGAAGTTGTTGTTGTTCTTATTTATTGGTTGAGAGGAACGTGGATGTTGGAGTCTCCTGCCGATCTTGAAAACCTGAAGTATTGGAGCGGAGGGAAACGGACCGAGCTCACAGACAGAGTCCTGTTACAGAACCTCTGAGCAAACCGACCTGAACACTTCCTGTTCATTTTCTCATGTCGTCAGCTGAAGCACTTTACAGCCAGGAGGAGATGAGAGCCTGGGGGGGCGGGGTTTCACCTTCAGCACTCACCTGCTCCGTGTTCATGATCAACAAGTCCACTGCGTACATTTCCCATAAGGCACAGCAACCAGCGGAAACAGTGCAGTCAGGTATCTCTGCAGTTAAAGGGACAGTCCACTGATTTCACCTGTTTAATTCCCTTTTTTATTAGAAAACAAGAGTAATAAAAGTAAAATAAAAAAAATATAAAAATAAATATAATGGAAATAAGATGTAATGGAAAAAAACAAAATAAAAGGCAAATTGAAATAATAAATAATATTTTTTTTGTCTCAAAATAAAATTGAGACAAAAAATATTTATGTAGTTATCAGATTATTCCTCTTTAAGTTCATTAGAGTTCATTATATAGTTTGACAGTTTTATTGTTTTTAACATTAATAACATCAAGAGTTTTAATATATTAATAATATAATATAATATAATATAATACAATATAATATATCTCTGAATTCCCCTAAAAACCCAGTAAACATGGAGCTGACTCTCCCTCTGCTTCCTTAACCCAGGTGATGTCATCAGGGTCGTTACCGCAGTGATGATGTCATCAGGGTTGTTTCAGCTTGTGTTGTGGAATCTGACGGGCAGGCGAGTGGCATTATGGGAAATGTAGGATTTTAATGTTTTTGGTGCTTAACCCGTATTAAAGATTAAAACTTTACTGTTTCTGCTTCTGCTGCTTCGAATTTGACAAATCTTTATTTAAACCGTAGAAGTGAGACAGTAAATTGGTGGAATGTCCCTTTAATTCCAGTTGCGTCCAACGTGTGAAAAACAGTTTAAATTTACAGCTTCACTTTCCTCCGGATCGTTCTCAAACATCAGGCAAACGTTTTGCACGTTGAACGCAGCGCAGTCGCTCGAGGAGGTTGAAGACGCCGTTTCCCTGGTTACTGTGTTGTGTGGGAATCCAACGGTGACGTGTTGATCATGTTGCTGATGACGAGGAGTCGCAGGCCCTGGTCCCGTCACCTGGGCAGGTGTTCACTCTGAACCCCTGATGACAAGTTACCTGGATGATAAGTTTCATTTTACTAAAAAAAATACTACAGCTTTTTATGTTTGTCAGTTTCTCTGCAGCTGATTTTTTTTAACAGAACGTGATGTTTGCAGACTTGTATATATTTGTATGTGATGATTCCTTTCTCCTGTTTTCTGGGAGGTGTGTGTGTGTGTGTGTGTGTGTGTGTGTGTGTGTGTGTGTGTGTGTGTGTGTGTGTGTGTGTGTGTGTGTGTGTGTGTGTGTGTGTGAGATCACGGTTTGAGTTTCGGTCGGTCAACGAGCACAAATCTTTATATGTACATAGATGAATTTGATACGATTTCCTCTCGTCTGCCAAGGCTTTGATCAGGAAGCGGCCGTGGCACGGAGCCGTGCCAAAGAATCAAAGACTCTCGTGGCAGCTCTGAACTCTTTCTACCAGGACTGTTCATCGTCGAGATCGACACACACACGTCTGTTCAGTGGATCTCACCAACTGTTCTGAAATCAGCGTGACGTCCTCAGACTGTCTGGAGCCGGTCACACAAAACACCTTAAGTTTTCCACTTAAGCCTGACACTTAAGGTTTAATTTCTCCTCAGCTGAGGCAGTTACTTAAGGGTGTTGCACAGAATCTTTTAAAAGGTGTCCTCAGTTGAGGAAGAAAGTTAAGTGAAAGAGACCTACTGTTTCCATGGAGACCGTTTGTTTGCTGACATTAGCACTTGTGACACCTGTCATCAGTTTTGGGAGGCCGCCATCTCGTCCTCGACTACACCTGACATTAAAATGTAGAGCAACCTGACTGCCAATCAAATGTGTAATGTAGAACCACTTCCTCATTGTTAAGGGGTTCTTCCTCTCTTCTTAGGATGTGTTCATTCTCCTCATTTATCACCATAACCTTTTTGTAAACTGTTTTTAATTTCAAGAAAACCTTAACTCGGACTTTAAGGAAACTCTCCAGGTGTTTTGTGGAACCGGCTCCTGCTCATTTCCCTAAGTTTGGTGAAACTTTGACTCGTCACAATCTGCACTGCCCAGCATCCACTCAGTCTGTCTGCTGTCCTCCCAGCACTGTATGTACTGTATGTATGTATGAGTGTATATATATGTATATATATGTATACACACAGGTGCACTTGCCAGGTGTGCATTAAGGCCAGTAGAATACAGTTAATGATGGAAAAGCAGGTGCCTTCTTCTCGTGAACCGGACATAGGCCTGCTCCTGTGTACAGGTGTGAATACGTTCTTTTCTCCGTGTATAAAGGCGTGTAAATGCGTTCACAGGCTCCCAGTGGATTCTGGGAGCCTGTTCCTCGGATGTACTGTTCTTTTTTCTACACATATCTGGGTTTCAGTTTCCCTCATCCACATGAAGCCTTTCACTGCTCACAGAGTGAAGGGGGGGGGGCTGATAGAAACCCGCTTGAATCTTTGCTCTGTAACTGAAGATGGACTGTTTTTAGATGAAGCATGGGTGGAACATGGAGTCTGTATATTCCCCTGTAGAACCTCTAGAATCTTGAATGTATGTACCCTGTTGTTTCCCGCCTCTCCAGCTTGACCTGAATGCATTTTGAAAAAATAAATAAAAACCCCACCGTCAGTCACGACCCTGAAAATGCAACTTTCCAAGCACCGTTTTTTTCAAAGAGAAATGTTAACGTTAAACTTGTCTCTCTGTTCTTTCTGGAACTCAAATCCAGTCTTTGTTATTAAAAAGAGGAAACTTGAAGATGTCCTGCAGCGTGGTTATTTTATTTAAAAGTTATGGTATATGATAATAAACATAGCAATTATTATTTAATTATTACTAATTGTTCACCTGTTTGTTGAATGTTAAGCTGTAGTGTTGTTGTGCTCATAAACATGCTCATAGGAAATCTGATATTTATCAGAGAAAAATAAACAAAATATAAGTTTCCAAAAATTCTGTGCAGAACCGCCCGTCGACCTTCTCAAAGGTTTTTATACCAGAAATCTGTTTTTTCCTTCATGTAACAACATGGATGGTTCTTTACTCCACTGTTTGCAAATGTAATTAATGATCACTATTTTCATTGACTTTTGGGTGTTTTATTCAGGCTTGTAGCACGTGTTCCTCTGATTGAACCTACGGTCAAATTAATTCCAAACTTTTTTTTTTATTTTTTTTCAAATATACCTCAAAAACGTGGGGAATGTTTAAATAAACGAGGTCTATTGGTCGCGATAATGATTTGGAATGAAGTTGACTGAAAAGATTTATTATTGGTAATAATTTCATACATGTTTTATAAACAGTCAAACAGATCGGGTCAGTTTTGACCCTGGAGGACAAAAGTTTCACGGTCGACAGGACGGCAGGACGAGGGATAAGGGATTCATAGATAAATAAAAGTTCTTATTTACTTCAACATTATGAATCAATCTCTCCAGAGAACGTCAGGCTTCTTACAGAAAGTGTGTTTGCATTTTTCCTCAGAGCCTGCAGGAGTCTGCAGATGCTGCCAAAATAACAAAGCCTTCTGGGTAAATTTCAGGTTCTCAAAGTGGCGTGAAGAGGAACTGCTTCATCAGTTATATGTCAACATCCTTCTTCCAGAGTCACTGTAGCTTTGAATATTCATGTAATCAATCCATAATTGTTTCTTCAAGCACAACCATCTGGAACAGAAGTGATTGAATCTGAGCGGCACAAACACATGTTCTCATGAACCGTTACATATTCTAAAGTTTTGTATTTAATGACTGTGTCTGGGCCTGAAACATGCAGTTTCCCAATATGCCTCATGTATAACCTCCATATTCATTCCTCAAGCATCTAATGTTCTGTAAGAAAACAAGGAAACAGAGAAAGCTGACCTCATCCCGTCATTAGAGTGAGTGTAAGTTCCTCAGTTTTGAACATGTAGAAGAGATTTGTATTATTTTTTTAAAGAGACTGTGAATCAATAGTCTCTGTTTTCTGTTAAAAATACAAATCTTTTCTACAAGTGCACTTTTTTTAATGAATGCAAATCTTTTGTACTGTGCTCTGCAGACTTATTTTACAGGCTTGAACAGTGTGGGCCTCCGCCTTTGAAACTGATAGGAGCTTCCTGCATAACTTGCACCTGACTGAGTTGATAATGGCGAGTGAAATGAAAGCTGTGTGCAAGATGTTACCAATAAATCTTTGAGTAGAGTGTGATGCAGCTGAATAATGAGTAAATGTATGTTAATTGGACTTTAAATTTCCAATATATAATAACTAAGTTATAACTAAGTTTCATATACAGTCTATGGTTATGACACATTATTTTGTTTATGTTTGATAAATGTAAAAATAAACATTCAGCAACCTTGTAATTTCATATAACATGTATTTCTTCATGGCAGTTTGTGCAGAAAGTGCATTTTCTAGTTGTTACTGTTATTGTCATGGTGGGAGGGGCTCCGCTGACTATGCGCCGCGCTGATTGGTGCTCTCATTCATTGACACGCACACGGACCAATTGTTGACGCCTGTGCCGGGCTCAGTAACAACACACCCTTATAAAGGTTATAACTAGTTAGTAGTTAATATCAAACCGGTCAGAGAGGAGTGACCCTGACAGGTAAAACTTATAACTTGTCTTTTTGTATCATATTATTAAGGTTACACGGATATTAACACTGTTAGCTGTAGCTTTAGTAACAGTTTCCAATGTTATCCGTTACTGCTGTGAGCTATGAAGCTAAAGCAGAACGATTCAATAATTAGCATCTCTGTTTACAGTGACCGTTAACCTGTTTTAACACCTGCTAAAAGACATAAACCTTCGTTAGCTCGCGGTGCTAGCCTCAGTACCGTTAGCAACAGTAAGGATAACATGGACGTATCCGCTGTGTCTTTCTCTCTGACTAACGTTAGCTAGCATATTAACGGTCACCGGTTGGCTAACTGTTGTTTAAATGTATCTGTAGTTGCTAGCTTAGCTAAAACTGACTGTAGGAAAGGTTTCAGGCGCGACGCCAGGATTTTCAGGGAATGTGTCTCTTCGTATCTCTCTGTTCAGGATGTCCCGGGAACAGCTCGTCGTGCAGCGGGCTAGGAAGTCCTTCCAGACGGGAAACACCAAGCCTCTGGAGTACCGGGTCCACCAGCTGAAGAGTCTGCTCCGCTTCATCTCAGAGAGGCGGAAGGACATTGCTGATGCTGTTAAGAGGGACCTGGGCAAGGTGGGTCTGCACGGACCTTCCAGTATTCCCAGTAGGTTCTGGAATCCCGGGAATATTGAGGGATGTTGTCAGGGGCCAGGGCACTGGATGGTGGCTCTGCAGAAAGGTCACTTTATAGGAAAACACAGCAGGATGCACTTTACAACTTTACTCCAACATTTAGTGCCAGGGATTATTTTCAATCAGTGGAACAGCAGCAGTAAATTTTAAGATCATTATAGAAACAGGTCAGAACCAGACCAGGAGCAGGACTGATCCAGATCCAGGTTGCAGTTAAGACCTGGATTAGAAACCAGCTGAGGAAACAGGACACAGGTGAATATTCTCCTGTTTGTTTTTAAAGTTGCTGATCTAGTTTCTTCAGTTGTTTGAAGACTGACGTAATTAAACTGACATGTTGCTCTTTGCCTTTAAAGAGTAATGCACACTTTAAGTCTGTTTCCAGGTCAGTAAAACTTTAATGAAATAATTTTTTTCTAATGAGAACAGACAGCTGATTGGAACGAACCTGTACAAACATTATTTCACCAAACACCATCAAGTATTTATGTGTATTTTTTAGAAATTAGGAACTACAATTTACTGCAAGTTACTCTTTTAACCACACTGTAATCATCATCATAAGTTATCAATCAGAATACTGAACACATGAATGAACGTGTTGTTTTCCTGCTTCCTCTCCAACATGTGTAGTATTGTTATTGTTCGAATATTCCTTCATTAATCAATCAATCAATCAGACTTTATTTGTATAGCATTTAGAAGCAATAAAAAAACACTCCCACCCCCCCATTCACTCACTCACATGCAAAACAATAAATGACCAAGTAATTAATAAAAACAATAAAAATAAGACAATAACAACAGGAACTGTGAAACACTGAAGACTGGAGTAAAGATAACGATAGAGTGATAAAGATAAAATAATAAAATTCTGAAACAGAGGAGATGTATTAAAGTGAGTAAAACTAGAAGTGAAAGGTAGGATATTAATAATCAAATAATAATTAAGACAAAATAGTAAAATGCTAAAAGAGAGGAGATGTTTGTTAGAGAGTAAGACCAGAAATAAAATTAGAAATAAAATAAATAACCAGAAATAGAAGTATGGTGATAGAAGGAAAACAATCCAGAAAATAATCATAGAATACAAAGACATACCAGTTAAACAGCTTAAAATATATAAATATATAGACAGATAAATAAATGAAATGAAATTAAAAGCCAGAGTAAACCAGTAAACATTAACAAACCAGCTGGGACTGAAGGATTGATCCGGGCCTCAGGTTCTGTCCCGTCTTTCAGAGTGAACACGGGACGGAGCTGTTTGAGACTCTGGGCCTGGAGGGAGAGATCAAACTGGCCATCGACAAGCTGGCAGAGTGGGCGGCTCCTCGGCCGGTGGAGAAGAACCTCCTCACCATCTCAGACGAGGTCTACGTCCAGCCTGAGCCCCTGGGGGTGGTGCTCATCATCGGGGCCTGGAACTACCCCTGGGCGGTCACACTCCAGCCGCTGGTGGGAGCCATCGCTGCAGGTAACAAATACACCTGTAGAGTTTATGTTCCTATTCTAAAACATGAGGTGTTCTGCTTCCTGAGTGTGGTCGTGTTTTCAAAATGGAAGGTAACTGTTTCTATGAATTGTCTTTGTTTGACTGTTTGTAGCTTGTTGTTGTTGTTGTTGTTGTTTCTCTTTTCAGTCTGAACATCTGCTTGTTTTTAGCTAATTGTAGGATTTTATCACTTGTGTTGTTTTTGCTGCTACACATGTAAAAGTTCAACTAGAGACAGAAGTGGAGAATTATCAACAGATATAAACTGTGCAACTCGTTAGTTTCATACTTTGTTTTGAAACTGTTAAACTACATCGTCCCTATTAAATAAATAAATAAACAAAACTGTTGCACGTCTCAACACTAAATCCTTCTTAAGTGATATTACGTTAGAAAGTCACGTCACAGGTTCATATTTAACACTTTTAGTTTATTGGAGTGTTTGATTTCGATTTTCAGATTCAGCAGACTCATGTCTGTTTTTCTCGTTGTGTATAAAGTTTGACATTAACCTGTCGCTGTGATGTGTTTATGTTCTCAAGGAAAAAAGACTCTTTGATGACGCTGTATCGTCTCATCTGTTTCTCTGTCACCTCCCAGGAAACGCAGCAGTAATAAAACCATCTGAAGTCAGCTCTCACTCTGCGAAGGTCATGGAGGAGCTGCTCCCTCAGTATCTGGACAGAGTGAGCCTCTTTCTTCCATATGATCTTTGATCTCTGCTCGGTGTGAACATACAGGAAGCTGTAATGACCGGATCACTTCTCTGTAGGATCTGTACCCGGTGGTGACGGGCGGCGTGTCAGAGACGCAGGAGCTGCTGAGGCAGAGGTTCGACCACATCTTCTACACAGGAAGCAGCTCAGTCGGCAAACTGGTGATGGAGGCCGCAGCTCGCCACCTCACCCCCGTCACCCTGGAGCTGGGCGGGAAGAGTCCCTGCTACATCGACAGCAACTGTGACATCACTGTCGCATGTCGGTCAGTCCCTTGGATCTCACACACACAGATACGTGCTGGTCAGGAATCTGTAGCTCTGCCGGTGTGTGAAGTGAGATAATAACACAACATAAAGACAGGAAGTGTTTTCAGTTTGTTTCTCTTCTTCACAGTCGCATCACGTGGGGAAAGTTTGTGAACTGTGGTCAGACGTGCATCGCTCCAGACTACATCCTGTGTGAAGCGTCCATCCAGAGCAGAGTGGTGGACGAGATCAGGAAGAACATCAAGGTCTGACACCGAGGTTTTAATCTGTGTCAGGAAAGTTATGGAAGAAAGAGGGGATGATGTGGAAATGCTTTAATGTTTGTCCGTAGATGTTTTTATGTTCTGGTCTCAGAGAAACACGATTCTGATTTTACAGTAGAAACTTGAATTGTCCGATCAGGTCAGTGTGAAGATGCTGTGACGTGTTTTGCAGGAGTTTTACACAGATAATCCAAAGACGTTTGAGGACTACGGACGCATCGTCAACCAGAGACACTTCCAGAGGGTCATGGCTCTGATGGAGGGCAGCACGGTCGCTGTGGGTGGAGACAGTGATGAATCCCAGTGTTACATCGGTGAGTCGAGTGTCTGAGCCACCGGCCAGCTTGAAAAGTACTTTTGACAAGTATTTTAAGACTTTTTTTTCTTCTAAATTTACAACTTCAATCTCCAAATTTCAGATTATTTTCCTCAGTGAGGTCTCAATACTCCGTCACATTATATCTGCGTATAAAGTCAATCACGATCTGGACTGACTCTGTTCCTCCGCGCAGCTCCCACCGTCCTGAAGGACGTGACAAGGGAATCTAAAGTGATGAGGGAGGAGATCTTCGGGCCGCTGCTGCCCATCATCACGGTGAGCGGCGTGGACGAGGCCATCCAGTTCATCAACGAGAGAGAGAAGCCGCTGGTCGTCTACGTCTTCTCCAATAACAACAAGGTGAAACACATCGCCAGCAGACAGGTGTTTCCCTCCTTCAGGTTAACTTTCAGACCACATTTGTGTCTCACTTCCTCCCCCTCTGCTCTGACCCCTCCCCTCTGATATCAGCTGATCAAACGGGTGATCGCTGAGACGTCCAGTGGCGCTCTGCTGGCCAACGACTGTCTGGTCCACTTCACCGTCAGCGCTCTGCCCTTCGGAGGAGTCGGTGAGTGTGTGAACGTGAGATCCACCTGCAGCTGCTTTACCCTCCACAACAAAGATGACTAACCCCCCCCCCCCCCCCCCCCCCCCCCCCCCCGCCGCCGCCGCCTCCCCAGGTAACAGCGGGATGGGCTGCTACCACGGCCGCCACAGCTTCGACCAGCTCAGCCACCTGCGCAGCTGTCTGATCAAGCAGCTGAAGATGGAGGGGGTGAACAGCATGCGGTACCCCCCCCACACCGCCAAGAAACTGGGCTGGGCTCGATTCTTTCTGCTCAAGCAGTTCAACGTGTGCAGGCTGCGCCGCATGGCGCTGCTCGCCATGTTGGCCGGTCTGGCGGCGTTTGTGGTTCAGGTAAGTAAAATAAACCAGACGGGTCAAACAGGAAACAAAGGTCTGTTTCATTAAAGGGGAATAAGTTCTGAGGCCGTTTGTTTAATCGTGTGAAATTCTGAAGAAACGTGTTGAGTTCATATTTATTCAGTTCTGTTCAGTCTCTGGATCCGTTCAGTCTGATGCTTCATTCATTTCACTTCTGTCTGTTATTCTGGTAATTAATGGGAATAAAATAATTTTAATTAGCACCAAATTATATTGTTCTTTACTGGAAACAAATCAGTCACCAGAATTATTTTGATCCACACAGCGGTCACTCGTCTTCCTGTGTCCTCACACAGAAACAACTAATAAAACAAACAATAATCAAAATCACACTGAATCAATAAAAAACAAAACAACAAAACAAGACAAAAGAATTCAAGTAACAGAGAAATGCACACAGCCTGTATTCAGACACTGAGCCTTAAACCAGCCGTCAGGACTTCTGGAACTTTGTGATGTCACAACAAAGCAGTCACCAAGCCCCGCCCACCTGGACCCACCATCCAAACCTTGCAGGAAAAAGAGAGGCTCAGAGCCTCCTCTCTTCTGATTGGCTCACCAACCTGTTGTTACTAGAGCTCCAGAGAGAAGCCTGAGAGAGGAGATGTGAAACTACACTGAGATGGTTTTTATATCTTCTGATGGATCAACACTTCAAATAAAACACAGAAGAAGAAACATGGAGCTTAATCATGTGACTGCGTCTGATTTCAGATCTGTGAAAATGTGTTGTGACTGATTGAGATCACGGTTCAGTTCAGGTCATAATAAAAGTCACATGTTGTCCAACAACTGTTAGACCATGATGTGATCCTTCATTAATAATTGACTGGCTGGTTTCCCTCTGATCCGGAATCTGCTGGGACCTCGTTCACCTTCACAGCAGGAACATGATGTTTTCATAGAACAGCTCCGTGTTGTGTTCACGTGTGTGTTTTAACAGTGGGTCTTTTGTGTGACGACTGTTTACAGGCGTTTAAATAACGACGGACACATTTTCCCATGATGAGCAGATACAGGGACTACGCTCCACATACCCACAATCCCACAGGCCCCCGTCCCCTCACACAACAATGGCCTTTGTCCCCGGCAGACAATGCGTACTGTTGTCCAGGAAATCTAACCACTGAATGCCCCCTCATCTACCCTCCCTTTAATTACCCAGCATGCTTCACTCTCCTCTGCTAAATGGCCCCTTTTGTTTTGGTCAACCCCTCCATTTCTGTTGACATCCACACTGTTGTTTCTCCTGCAGAGGTTCCTGCTGTGAGGCTGAGGACCAGACTCTGCTGGTCTGTGCTGGACCGTGTCCTGGTGCAGGTGGTGCGGGGCCCGGGACCCCCACGTGGACTCCTGCCCTGTAGCGAAATATGGCGCAGCTGTGATTAACTGGTCCATATCATTTCATCCATGTTGACACACCTGACTGATTGATACAGTGGCCCTGAAGGTTCAAACCCCTGCAGCTTCAGAAACACATGAAAAACATCTTCATCAGTTTGACAACACACGTGCTGCTACACAACAGGAAGTGTTTCTAGGGGACATTAGTCATGAAGACGGCTCGTTGGCTACATGTTAGCGCTGCTGGAAAATGAGCTAAAGCTAAAGTTTGTTCTGTTCATTATAACGTCGATATCACATGATTCAGATATTATTGCAAAAATGTTAGCCGTTAGCTTAGCCTTCAGGTCCGTCACTTCTTTGTGTCCCCTCTTCCGTCGTGTTGTCTGTATTTGCAGCTCGTGTCAAACTGATGAAGATGTTTTCTGAGGTTGTTTGTGTTTTGAGCTTCAGGGCCACCGTACATTCACAACTCTTCCGTTACAACTTCAAGCTGCTATTAAAGTTTTTAATGTCAATTTTATAGAATTAAAATCTGTAATTATTATTATTATTATTATTATTATTATTATTATTATTATTATTATTATTATTTAACCTGGTAAAAGGAGATTTTACTTTAACAAAATAATGAAATCAATTTCATGAATATCATCTGCTTTGAATGTTGCCATGGTAACTTCTGTTACTCCTTTTTATTCCAGTTTGAATCCTGATAATATTTTATTGTTTCTGCCATTAAACATTAAACAAAACAAAACGTTGATTATAACTCATTGTCTTATTATCAACACTGGAATATTATTGACAAGATACCAAGGTCACTGGAGTTTATGAGGCTGTTATTAAGATACACTGACCCCAGCTACGGGCAGTAAAATGCTGTGTGTGTGTGTGTGTGTGTGTGTGTGTGTGTGTGTGTGTGTGTGTGTGTGTGTGTGTGTGTGTGTGTATGTGTGTGCGTGTGCGTGTGCGTGTGTGTGTGTGCGTGCGCAGGCGGGTTTGGGGGGGGGGGAATGTTATGAAGGCTCCCAGTGTGTGAACGCAGCTCCAGCTCCTCGTCACGGTGACCGAGCCTCCCGGTAAACTGACCCCAGATCAGAGTGACTGATGAGCGGTGAGAGTCGCTCGGAGAGCCGGGAGCGTATCGGACACCTGAACCGCTCTGAGATCAGATCAGTGACGGACCATTCTCTAAAACCTCCACACAGAAAACTGGATGTGTTTCACCTGAGCTGCTCCGGACCGCGGTGAGTTCAACTCCTCTCTATCGATTTATTGATTATTTAACCGTCGTCGATCAGATGATTTAAAGTGACAGGAGATGAAACATCCAGAGTTTATTATGAAACAAACGACAGAGACTCGAAATTAAAATCAAAATGATTGTTTCTCTCAAGTCAAACGACGCAGTTGTCACAGTGTCACAGTGTGACGATGACTTCACATGAGAAAAACAATCTGCAAGAAGTTTTTGGAAAAGTTTTCTCTAAAACAAATTTAAAAAAATAATCCTGTTTTTATTTTATTTTAATTTTTTCTAGTAAAACGTTTTAAAAATATGTTTTTATTCATTTAAATTAAGAAAAACTGGATTTTTTAATTTTATTTTTTTTAAGTGAATGCATTAAGCTTCCTCATGATCCATACCGTCTAATCACTGGTTAATAAAAATACATGATTGTTCCACTTTGACCTCTGACAACCTGTTGAAGTCTTAATTAAATGATGGTGGAAATGTTTTTACGCAGCTGTGCTTCAGGGAAAAGAGAGAAAGACATGAAAACTGACAGGAGCCATTTCCAGTCATTTCATTTCAACTACAGATGTTTCTATATTTGACAGATGTTTGGTGTGAGGATCGAGATTTCACATCCACAGACTGTTTAACAGGGTTTTAACTGATTTTTAAAACAAGCTTTCATTTTATAAATCACATTTTCTTGATTTAAGAAAACAAGGATTTGAGTGTTGTTATAATAATTTTAGTTATAATTTATGGAAAACTTTCCTTTAATTTCCTTTATTCACATTAGTTATTACAAGTGAATGTAGATTAGTATTTGAAAGTTGTATGTTTTATATATTTGATCAGTTTATTTACACATTATTTACAGTGTTTGTGTATTCTTGACCTCGACGCCTTCGTTAGGGGCCTGAGCGATGTTCCTGTCATAAAATAAGGGAAACACTTGTAATTATATATTTCTATATTCATTGTTGAATCCTGACTAAAAATATTATATAAACAAAGTTATAATTTATAGAGTTTTAGTTTTAAAATCCATCTCACCTTGAATTCTGCCTTGATTTAAAGTCAGCAGAGGTTCTGATGTTGAGACTGGAAATGAAGAGTCGGATTAAATTTATTAAATTATTTACATTAAAATCTCATTGCAAAGTTTAAATTGATTAAACATTTTGTGGTAAAAACAGAATCACAGTGCTGTGTCACTTCTCAGTATTGGTCGTCAGTCGTCTGGTTGGTTTTTGATCGTCTGTTCTGTGACAACATAATGCTCAGTTTGTTAAATTTCCATAGATACAGGAAGTAAAAGTTGTTCCAGGACATGTTGACTGTTCATTTTTAAAATTGGAAGGACCAGTGTGGAAGGCTTAGTGACATCTAGTGGTGTAGGAGAACCTACGGTGGCCCTCAGGTAATGTAAAACATGAAGGACCCTCTCTAGAGCCAGAGTTTGGTTTGTCCCTTCTGAGCTACTGTACAAAGATGGCGGTGCAACATGGCAGCTCATTCTAAACTAATGAAAACACAATGATTCTTACACTGATGAAAACCTACTTATGAATATAATATTACACTTCTGCCCTTGAATCCTGCGCACTGGCCCTTTAAGTTCAGTATGTGTGTCACTTCACACACCCTCCCTGCTGAAACACCTGTGCTGTACCCACAGTTCCACCTGTATGTATGGAGAGGCAGGCGGTGCAGCGGGCCAGGGAGGCCTTCCTGAGCGGCCGCGCTCGGCCTCTGGAGTTCAGGCTGCAGCAGCTTCACGCTCTGCAGAGGATGATCACTGAGAAGGAGACTGAGATTTCCACCGCTCTCAAACAGGACATCAACAGGGTGAGTGTCACACGCTGAGTCACATGTCTGCAGGTGCAGCTGTTGTCTGACTGACAGGTTGTTTGGTTTCCTGCAGAGTCAGTACGACACGCCGCTGCTGGAGCTGATCGGCATCGAGAACGAGATCAAGCTGGCCACGGAGAAGCTGGCAGAGTGGGCGGCTCCTCGCCACGTGGAGAGGAACATCCTCACCATCTCAGACGAGGTCTATATTCAGCCCGAGCCCCTGGGGGTGGTGCTCATCATCGGGGCCTGGAACTACCCCTGGGCCCTCACCCTCCTGCCCCTGGTCGGAGCTATCGCTGCAGGTAGGGACCCTCCATCTCCCGGCCCCCCCCCCCCACACCAGAGTCACAGTGTTGTTGTTTCAGAGCAGACCTCTGCTCAGGTGGATTCGAGGTTTTCAAAGTCCATGAACTCATAAAATGATTCAAGTGTGGAGTGATAGAGAAGTCAACCAATCACAGTCTGTTTACAGCCCCTGACCTGAGAAGGTGCAATAAGCTAAATGTGACCATACCTGTGCAGGTAGAGACACAGGCCACCAGGAGTTTAAAGTTTCCAGAGAGATGAAGACTCTCAGGTCGAACTTGTCATTTCCAGATTTGTATAAAATCAGATTTAGGACATAACTTTAAAAGAAGTGCTGCAGTGATGAAATGATGATAAGCTTGTGTTTACTGGTTGAAAGTCTGAGTGTCGCTCTGAGCTGTGATGAATCTGAAGTCTTGTAGAGAAGCAGCATGAAGTTCAGGACTGACGTTCTGTGAGAACAGAGTAAATGTTCATTCAACCCTCTGAACCTCCTGCTGCTGTTCCTCCTCTCAGTTTGACCAGCACTGATGAAGAGACGAGAGCGTCTTCAGCCATTTTCACTCTTTTATTGGCACAAAACTATAAAACATTTACCAATATCCTGATACAACAGATCTATAACATAATACATAAACATACATGTTGGTCACACTCGTGTTTTGCAGCTGAACTGTCCTGCTGTGAACCTCCTCTGACATCCCGCCTCAGCTCTGCATTCTCAGCCTCCGCTCGCTCGCCCTCCCTCTCTCAGTGACCTCATCCCATTGATAGAAACCCGTGTTCTCTCTCTCTCTCTGCAGGGAACGCAGCTGTGGTGAAGCCGTCGGAGCTCAGCGAGTACTCCTCCCTCCTGCTGCGGGCGCTGCTGCCTCGGTATCTGGACAAGGTCTGAACTGCAGCGTCTGTTGTTGGTGTGAATGGCGACGCACAGAGCTGCTTCACAGACAGTTTTTATTCCACGGCCGAGTGGCCGCTGAGTGAGGGGACTCCCTTTGTGTCCCAGACAAACTGTCAGACCATGTCACCAGGAGAGAGGGTTGGTGGGACGATGGCTCCTCCTGTTGTGATGTCATAATGAGAGTTTCAGTCGGGAAATGTGAGATTTTGTTTGTTAAACTTGGATCTTTGGTCTCAGGTTCATCCAGACAGATTTTGTAGCTGGTGTTTGCTCAGTTGTAACGGCCTGAATTTATTAAACTTTTCAGAATTACTCTTAAATCAATCAATCAATCAAACTTTATTAGTGCAGCACTTTTGACACAGGTCAGAGCAGTTCAAAATTCACAGGCGACTGATGAGCAAAAAAGAAAAAGGACAAATGAAATAAGAAAGCTGAGAATGAGATACAATAAAATAGGTGAATGAAATAAAGTGACTAATGACATTTACGTTTAAAGACTTCAACACTTCCGGCTGCTCAGGCCCTCGGGTCACACTGTTCATATCTGCCGATGCAAGAGCTTTAAAAACAAATAAAAGAAGTTTAAAATCAATACAGATTCTGACAGGAAACAAATGTTTCTGCTGGAGACGTCCCGTCCTGTGTCACTGAGGAGCGTCACTTAATCTCTGAAGTTTAAAGTTTTATTCAGTGTTTCTCCTGGTTTGAATCTCCTGGTGTGTTTGTTGTGGAGCGGAGAGACCTCTGTGGAGAATTCAGCTGCTGAACGTCTGGTTCATAAGTTATCAGAATTATCACAGCGTCAGTGAAGTACTCACCTATTGAAGACTAAAGGAGGTCTTGTCTTGTCCAGTCTGGGCCGACTCAGCGCTTTAGCTGCAGGGATCATTAAAAGTTTTCAGATTTTCCATCGACTGTAGAAGCGGATATAAACCCGACCGTCCTCCTCGTGCTGTTTATTTCAGGATCTGTACCCGGTGGTGACGGGCGGAGCTTCAGAGACGCAGGAGCTGCTGAGGCAGAGGTTCGACCACGTCTTCTACACAGGAAGCAGCTCGGTCGGCAAACTGGTGATGGAGGCCGCAGCTCGCCACCTCACCCCCGTCACCCTGGAGCTGGGCGGGAAGAGTCCCTGCTACATCGACAGGAACTGTAACATCAGAACCGCCTGCCGGTAACACACTCACACGCTCCTCTTTTTTAGGGGATTTTGTCTTTATTTGATTGGACGGTGACGATAGACAGGAAATGCAGGGACAGACATGCAGTAAAGTGTCTGTCCGGGCGGCTGGGGGTCGAACCCGGGTGTTTGCGCCCATGTGATATTCGCCGTAACCACTCTGCAGTTGGGTCGCCTCAAACCGCTGCTCTTTAACGTCCACAACAAAACGCTTCAGACGTTTTTAGCTTCTGCATCATCTGCTGGTTTGTCAATGACACTGAGGCTCAACGACTCATTCCTCAACTTTCCAAACTTGATTGATTGATTGATTGATTTCCTACCTGGTCCACAGGTTCCATTCATTTCAGTAGACAAGACAAAATACAGAATCTGTCACAGTGAATCATTTGTTGGCTGCTGAGCACAAACTTATATATATAATATAATATAACACTGTCTTCAGCAAATGTTCAACTTCAATGATCTTTGGCAGCCAACAGTTCTCAGATGTCGGAGTGTCATGGAATGTGTCACCAAGCACAGATTTAAAAAGCTCTGTGATGTGAAAGTGGTTGAAAACAACATTAATGTATTCAAAAACCAAAACAATCTGTTCAGCTCCACATTAGTAAATGTACCTGAATGAGACTTTCTCACAGTATTAAAACACTGACACATTCAAACTGTACATTAGATAAAGTGTAACTGTTCATTTGTACGTCACTTCCTGGTTCGTGTGCAGTCGGATCACCTGGGGAAAGTTTGTGAACTGTGGTCAGACGTGCATCGCTCCGGACTTCATCCTGTGTGAACCGTCCATCCAGGGACAAGTGGTGGACCGGATCCGACAGACTCTACTGGTAACATTTAAACTCTAAACTGATCAGGTCTGACATGTTAGTGTGAGAGTGTGTGTGAGGTACTGCTCTATAGTCAGTGTGTTACCTGCAGTAGATTCAGTTTAGAGAAGCAGCAGGAGCACAGGTGCAGACGCTGAGTGTTGAGCTGCTGTGGGCGGTGCTCTCTGCTGAGCCGCCCACAGCAGCTCGTCCCTCAGCGTCTGCACCTGTGCTACAATACCTTAATGTACTGATACGAGGATGTCTCCTGAACACCTCCTGAACATCACCTGAACGTTGACTCTACTGCAGGAGTTTTACGGTGCGGATCCTAAATGCTCCCCGGACTACGGCCGAGTCGTCAACCAGCGTCACTTCAACAGAGTCATGAGTCTGATGGAGGGGTACACTCCTGTGGTGGGGGGCCAGAGTGACGCCTCCCAGTGCTACATTGGTAGGAAGATACGTTTTGTTAATCTCTCAGTTCAGATCAGACAACAGTAAAGACTGAGTATGTTTCTGTGTTAAAAGCCCCCACAGTGCTGAAGGACGTGCCCCCCCACTCCAGACTGATGCAGGAGGAGATCTTCGGCCCCCTGCTGCCCATCGTGACCGTGAGCGACATGGACGACGCCATTCGCTTCATCAACGAGAGAGAGAAACCTCTGGCCCTGTACATCTTCTGCTCTGACAAGAAGGTGAAACAGCTGGAAAACAGATATAAGAAGTTTTAAGTTTAATGAAGCTTCTTCTTCATGTGTCTCCTCTCTGCCCCCCCCTTCCCCAAGGCTGTGAAGAGGATGATAGAGGAGACCACAAGTGGAGGAGTGACGGTCAACGACGTGATGATGCACTACACGCTCAGCTCTCTGCCGTTTGGTGGCGTTGGTGAGACTGACTGAAGTTACTGTCTGTGTTCAGGACAACATTTATTATTATTATTTAATATATGTTATAAACTTATATTTTCATATATCCAGAGGATGTATAGACGTGATAGTAATATATCCCCCTGACAGGTGACACGTATGGCAACATCACTCTTGATATAGAGACATATATATCATATATTACTTTTCTGTTTTCTCAGGTTCAATAATCCTAAACACTCAATCCAACTTCTGTTATCAACTCTTATGTCTGTTACCTAGCAACCAACGCTGCTTCTCTCACCTCATCTCACTGACGTATTTTTGTGAACCTTTAGATTTCTCATTGAAATTTACAACGTTGCTAACTCAGGAGATAAAAGAGATAGACAGGGTTAAGATAGGCTGCATCTACTAATGAGTTTTAGTCATCAAACACATCGTTAGCAGCATGAGCCTCTCAGTGAGTCCAGCCTGTTGATGTTTGGTCTGCGGTGTTAAAGCAATAAAAGCGCAGCGTCATGGAGGAAACACGTCAGCCACGAGGTGGAGAAGTGGAACAGTTTTACTGAAGTTAGGAAGCTCGTATAAAACACTTCCTACCTTCAGTTAGGATGGGAACATTGACTGAGCAACTATTCATCTGTCATGGCTTTTTTCCTAAACCGAGTCTTAACCCTGGTTACCGTGGTTACCAAACAGTTTGTCAAAGCAAACATGAATAACTCATCTGTTTTTATGCAAATTTCAATTTATTCATAAGAAAATGATTGATCTGAAACAATTTGATGAGTCGACAATGAAGCTGCTTTATTAATTGACAATTACAGTCATTTCACTTTTGTCCACTAGTGGGCAGAAAAACACGTAAACAAGCTGCTACCAGCGGCTAACGTAGCTGCTGTTGCTAACATGTTAGCAAACAGCTGATTCATACGGTGGCCCTGAGGGCTCAAAGCCCCGCAGCTTCAGAAAACACCTTCATCAACACATGAGATGCAAATACTCACAACACAACAGGAAGTGTTTCCAGGGGGACACTAAAAAGTGATGAACCTCGCACTTGCATGGATGTACTATAATACATCCATGGTTCAATGGTTTTAACTTCAAAAGCCACAAAACATTGAACAACAAGTGCGTCCCAGCTTGGTTCATCACTTTTTAGTGTCCCCTGGAAACACTTCCTGTTGTCGTCTGTGTGTATTTGGTTGTTGTTGTGAGTCTTTGCAGCTCGTGTGTTGTGACATTGATGAAGATGTTTTTCTGAATTTGTGTTTTGTCTGTTTACATGTGTTTTCTTCAGCTGCAGTGCTTTGTCCTCTCAGGGCCACCGTACAGGATCGTTTTGAGGGATGACACTTTGAGTTTTGTTGTGTAAACTTGAAGAAACTGAAACGTGCTTCATGTAAAAATGTGTCATCAGTGGGACACAGGTGGTGATAGCTTGTTACACAGATTAAATTTACCTCTGCAGCTCTGGTGTCATCATGGAGGTAGCACCTGTCTGCAGCCCCCACCCAGCCACATGAAAACCTCCACATCACCTGTTTGTCTCCTCCAGGTCAGAGTGGTATGGGCCGTTACCATGGCAAACACACCTTTGATCAGCTGAGCCACCAGAGGGCGTGTCTGGTCCGCTCTCTGGGCATGGAGAGCGTGAACCTGGCTCGGTACCCTCCTCAGGACCGCCGGCGGGCGCGCAGGGTGAGGATGGCCCTGAAGTCGCCCCTGATCGACACGTCAAAGAGGACGTTCATCTGGGCTGTCATCGCCACCGTCATCGGCTTCGGCCTCTTCATCACGCTCCTCGTCATCCTGCTCATCGCTGCCGGTCTCAACTGCACCTGCTGGTACTGGAGAGGCTTCTATAACTAGAGACACTGAACTTCTCTGAGGCCGAAGAAGAAGAAGAAGAAGAAGGAGACGTGCCTGTGACGTCTTCTATGATTAGAACATGAATTGTGTTTCACATTCAGATATTTAAAGATAAATAAGAGGATAACCTTTAGATCTAACGTTTATTTTCTGTGTGTTTTGTTCTATATCAGATGAACCTGGTTCTCTCTTCTTCAGGAGTTTAAACACATTTCATCATGAAGAGAGAAATTCTGTTTTCAGAAATGTTTGTTTGTTTGTTCCTAAATAAAATGATTGATGATATGTTAATAATTTATTTAGCAGATTTTATAATTCTTCTGAAAATGCATTTTCTTCTTCAAATGATTTAATAATAATAACTTTATTTATATAGCACTAGCAGCAAAGTGCTGCCCAAACATAAAAACAAAACAAAGCAATAAAAGACACAGAGAATCAAAGTGTTAATTAACCTTCTGTTTATTTGTTTATTCATAAATTTATCTATTTTATTTATTTATTTTTACTTTTATAATTTGGAGAATTTGGTATCTGAGAATGTTACTCTTTATGTTTTGGAACTCTCTCTTTGTGTTTATTGTATGAATTTTATTTACTATTACTGTTATTATTATTGTTATTATTATTATTATTATTATTATTTCTAAACATTATGATTTTTTATGAAGGTTGTCATTGTTACAAGGTTTGATTCTCGCGTTTAATTGGCGCTGTCTTATCCAAAACACCTAACTGCTTTACGGCAAGTCCCCTGTCGTAAACTAAACCCATATAATGTACACTTTGACGTACACTTGGCCACAAAGATACTGTAGAAAATCTTTGGTTTTTATCAGAGACAGCTGATGAAGGAGACGGCGCATTTACAATCACTTCTCTATTATTTGTCGTAAAGTGTACATCATACGGTTGAAGTTTACGACAGGGGGATTTGCCGTAGAGCAGTTTGGTGCTTTGGATAAGGCAGCGCAAATAAAACACCGAGAAGTCAGCGAAGTTTGGGTCGTTGTGAGTTTCTGAACGTGTTCAATGTGACGGATTTAAAGCTACGACAAAACAGAGCGTCATGTCGGTGAGCACCAGGTGAATCACCGGATGTGACGATGTTTTTCCCGCCTGATCGTGAGTACACTGGATTTCAGGTAAGGTTGGATTGATTCAGTGGAACAGAGTCGGAACAACAACAGGAGTCTGAAACAACGAGGCCTGACGCCATCTTTGTTTCCCTTCTTCATGTTGAAGTTCGAGTCCTACTTCAGTTGTATTGTCATTTCCACATGCTAAAGAGAAAGTGTTAGCTCTCTTCGTTAGCAACAACAGCTAATCAGTTGTAAATAACGTGTTGACGTCACGAGATGAAGGGTTCACGAACTTTCTCCAGTTACACTGTGAATGACTGAGTCATGTTTTCAACATGAACAAGAACAACAGTGATTTGTGTTTAATTAGTTGAAATAGATTGTGTTTGTTCAGGATTGTAATTCAGATGAAGATCTTAGACTGTTTTCTAACACTACAGTCTTCTGTTAATTCACGTCAGTACAGCACGTGCGTGCAGCTGTGCCTCAGTGGTGCGTGATAAACAACACACTCAATACAGATGTGTATGGAAGCATAATGCGTTCATTTAAGAAAAATAAAAACTGCTGTTTTTCAGAATTAACGACATCATTATCTCAATGTTATGTTGTTAATTCAGAAAATAGGAACAGGAATTATTTTCGATTAATTAAAAAAAAAGAAAAAAAGAAAACTTGTCAACCGTTTAATTTGCAGGTCATTAATTATGTAGCTATTTTGTGGTAATGTGAAGAAATTGCGAAGAAATAACAGTCAAGAAAAGTCAGAATAATTCCAAGTTGTAGTATAATAACTGGGAAATACTTTAAAAATATTGGCTGATTATGGAGTTGAATTGAATTGAATTGGATGGTAATTATATGGGAAAAGTTATAATAAGTAGTATAGCCCACACACACGGTTCACATTAATTAACGGCCTGTAAATTAAAAGGTTATTGAAAACTTTTCCCTGGAAAAAATCGTCTGAGCAGAGCAGAGTATCTTTTCTTAAGTGAGTTCTTTACTTTTCTGTAGATGTGTTCCTGTGCAGGTTACTGGTTCTCCAGTTAGTGTAAGAGGTTCATACTGTGTACGGCCACCAGACGGCGGCAGAGAGCTACAGAAGAGTTTCCAACAGATCAGATTGTCAAACAGATCAAATCAAGTTTGTGTTACACATGTTTATATTCATGAGTTTTTCTATTGAGTTACTAAGTTCAAAAGAGAAATAAAAAAGAAACTATTCTCATTGATTGTGAATTACACTGAATTAAAAGAAGATGCAGAGTTTCATCCTGAACAGTTAGAGATAAAAGTATAGAGCTTGTTCTGTTACCGCTGAGTCAATGAATAATTATAACACGTCTTTACAAATGTGTTGTCCCATGTCTTAGTCCCATCCCCATTTAAGCCATTGAAGCTGCATTAGCTGCTCTGCTAAGCTTCACACTGACAGATTTACCACTTGTGGATATTCAGATCTTCAACTCGTAAACCAACAGAGGAAACAGCTGCTTCTGCCCTAACAGGCTCACCTCACCGCTCCTGAACACCTGCTGCATAACTACACTGAAGTCATGCTGCTGACACTGGGAAACCACGCGCTGCTGATCTCTTTGGTGGTGACTTTAAATGTCCAATTAGTAAAGATCTGTCTTTCCTGGCTCCTCAGAGTGACTGTAACAAACCAGCAAGGGTGTAGCGACTACTTTTCCAAAAGGCTGCTGAGAGACTCTTGTCTGTGACACGTCCACAAAATCATACTGAAATCCAGATGACGTTTTACTGAATTTTATTGAATGAAAAAATCAAAAAGGACTGACAAGCAGCTGTTCCACAAAAATATAAAACCTGATGTGATCCGACTGAGAATAAAGTGATGAAAGACAATGGTGATAATGATGACGATGGTGACGGTCAACAGAAAGTATATCAGAGCTCTACCAACTCCCTTTGTCCAAATCTCCCGCCGCCACCCAAGTGAACAGGTAGAATAAGGGGAAACCACACCCATGTGTCAATCAACAGAAGTGACGCAATACGTGCAGCACAAGCAAATATTAACATAAGCAAAAACATATTTTGGCTCCTACAAAGGGGTTGATGGGTTTGATGGTGAAGCAGACCACCAGTGCTGCTCCTCATTTCACCTCGGGAGACTTGTTCTTGTTGTGAAGCCGCGACCCGAGCAGCTTCAGCCGCGACCCGAGCAGCTTCAGTCGCGACCCGAGCAGCTTCAGCAGCTTCAGCTTCAGCTTCAGCAGCTTCAGCAGCTTCAGCCGCGACCCGAGCAGCTTCAGCAGCTTCAGCCGCGACCCGAGCTGCTTCAGCAGCTTCAGCTTCAGCTTCAGCAGCTTCAGCCGCGACCCGAGCAGCTTCAGCAGCTTCAGCAGCTTCAGCAGCTTCAGCTCTGTCCTGTCAGTAATTAGCATGGACACATGAACCTGAGCCACAGTCATTTCAGACTGACTCTGCTCTAATTAACTGGCTGTGTGAACGACACTCATCATGGAGGCAGAGCAGCAGAGTCAGGAAGAGGTCAAAGGTCACTGATCAGCCTCCTCCATGTTGTCGGGTGACTCCAGGAGCTGCTTGTGTTTCAGTTTCAAAAACAAAGCTAATGATAATAAATAAAAATAAATAATCAGCTGCTGACATAAATTTATTTTTAAGCTGTGGTTATGCCGACACACTAGGGGGCGCTAACCTCCCAAAACTGCAGTCTGCAGGTAATCATTAGATCATTTTTTAGTGAGGAAAGAAAAAGTCATTGTCATAGTGATGAAAAGTCTGCACAACAAAACACTGAAAACAAGTTATTTTCCCTCTGGTTACATAAAAATGAAATTATATGAAATTCTGTGGCAGGATTTAGAAAATGTTTGACATCTTTTTATTGCTGGGTTTCTACTTTTTCTTTTTTTTTTTTTTGGCTTCTACTTTTGTCGACTCTGCTGTTGAACTTCTGGAGCTTTGATTGAGGTTTTAAAAAGCTTCGAGTTTGATTTTTAAAATGTTGCCGGAACCTGGTCAAACCTGATGCTCCAGACTTCAGAGTCACATTTACAGGTGTGCTGCAAATCAGTTCAGTGCTTGGTGTGTAAAACTACTGACAAACAAACAGCAGAAGCTCCTTGTCGGAGGTAACGGGGGTTTTCATGATGTCCATCAAACAGACAAATCAAACACACCTGTGGATCAACACTGATGGTTGGGTTTCTCACAGACTAACCAATCAGTGCAGGCCGTGCAGCTGCGAGGGATTCAGGTAACGAGGCCTGGGGAGGGGTCGCCTCCTCGGTCTGGTGCTTTAGAGAGCTGGATAGAGAAGTGTATGTTTGCAGCGATGGCGTCCAGGCAGCTTGTGGCGTTCGGCTTTGTGCTTCTCTGTGTGCGGCTTAGTGACGCTCGAGTCCTCGGCAGGAGAGAGCCAGCCAGCCGGGGGGTGGAGGCGCAGAGGCCTGCACAGGTGGAGGCGAGGCCGTCAGCAGAACCTGAGAGAGAGCACTCCAGGGTGTCTGCTCAGCCAGCCGGGGGACTCCAGGTGAAGGTCTACCCGGAGCTGGAACCGCTCTCCTGGAGGTTTCCACAAGCTCCAGTGGATCAGTTGAAGAAGCCTCCGGTCCGGTTTGAGCGGCGGCGGCCGGAGACGTGGAACCGTGTTGCTGTGAGGTGTGGGGAGAGCGGCCTCCAGGTGGAAGTGAGTCAGGACCTGCTGGGCCTCGGCCGGCTGGTGGAACCGGAGCACATCACACTCGGTGGTTGTTCAGCCACCGAGGTCGACGACCTGTCCCACGTGATCGTCTTTGAGTCTGAGCTGCACGGCTGCAACAGCACGCTGGTGGTACGAGGTTTTTATTCATGTGATGCGTTCATGTCTCATCTTGTATCATATCATCATTTTTTTTAAACAGCTGGACTAAAACAACCAGCAGACAGCAGTGAAATCAAGAATTAAAAGCTGCTTTATACGAGTCTGTTTTCAATTGTGTTTTTACCTGCAGCCTGATCTCCTTTAATGTTCTTAAAACATTTATATTTTAATGTCTTTTCACCAAAGTTGTTCTGTTTCTCAAATGATGTGGGACCCACTAGCAAGGCCTAGGCGGCCCACCAGTGGGCCTCTGCCCACAGGTTGGGAACCACTGCTCTAAATCAC